ATATGTTCAATCACAAACGCTTGTAGTGGCAAATAGTGTTTGTATGTGTGCTTGTTTCAGTTACAGCGTGCATGCATTCTGCCACAGTTTGCGCATGTGTGTGTGAGTGTGTCTATATGCAATAGTTTGTGTGTGTATCTATGTGTGGGTGTACTGAACAGAGGATTCAGGTGCAGCGCCAGAAACACACTCCTGAGTGTGGCGGGGGCATCCTGGCACAGACAGGGCACCAGATGTCAGAGCAGTGCAGGAACCTGCTCAGTGGACCAGTGACACTTTTTTTTCTCTCCTAGTGCTGAAAACGGGATCTGGGCATCCAGGAATAAACTCTCTGAGGGGCCGACTGAACCCACCCCCATACATCATTAGGTCCAAATATGTTAACCCTTCAAGCGAAACACAGAACTCTTTACTTTGAAACAAATCACCACTGTCAAATGTATATAACTAGTAAATAGAGACATTAACTGAAACTGTTGCCTACAGACTGCATTGGCAGTCCTTTAAAGGTCCTTCAAGGTGGTTCCAGAGAAATCGTAACTGACTGATCATGTCCCCTGATATCGGTTTCACTCACACTTCCATGCTAGTCTGTGTGATTGATTCATCTTGCCTAACATGCCACCAGGGCTACAAGAACTACTAAACTGCCTATTATCATCTCAGTTAGTCGATTAATAGTTCTATAAAATAACAGAAAACAGAGAACAAAGTCAATCGCACCTTTCGAGATCTACCGTTGGGTATCATTGCTCGAAACTATTCAGGTATCGACCAAAACAATCCAGTATGGAGTAGTGTCAAAACTTCTCCAGTCAAATTATCAGTGCATTTGATTCTTTTGTACCTAGATCTAGAAAAAAATCATTATTTGATGATTTGTTTCGCTTGTAGCCAATCACCACAAGCATTCCTCACCCCCTACAACAGCAGTTACAGCCCATACAGTCTGTGCTATGAAGTCGTGCACAGTATATTTGATTGAGTCGGCAGCAGCATGCCGAGATGCCACCAAAGGGTTTGAAAGTATGGCTATACTACATGCCTGTGGTGTCTGATGGCATTTATGTGACCGAATGCTTCCATTCGCATCGAATGAAGTTTAAAAAAAAATCAAAGTACTTTATTGTATTAGTATGACTTTAAACATAATGGTTTTGGTACTGGTATCGTAATTCTTTAAAAGATACTTAGCCTTACCAAGAACATAAGTTGACATCTTCGTATTGCTTGTTTTGCCTGATCAACAGTCCCACATCCAAAGATATTGACTTTAATAGAATTGAAAACAATTAAAATCAGCATTTTAATTGATTTAATCGACTATATAAAAGTTGCTGAGTCATTTCATGTCAATCTTCTGTCTAAGTAAAGACGAATAACAAAGTGGATTACCTAATATCGAGCCATGTCTCTACATTACAAAGCAAATTTATGCAGAAATGTGCTATTAAATCTTTAAAGGCAGCATCTGCAATTTAAGTATGAAATTTAGGTCAACATCAACACACACAAGCCCCCCAGGAAGACAACTGACTATTTTTATAAAAGATAATAGGGAACTAAATTCAGAATAAAAAGTATAAAGATGGTCAGATTTCCAAAAACATAGCAAAAGTCATAACAACAGCCACGTGTCTAACATGTGTCCTCGAGTAACATCCAGGACCTACACTGGCTCAGCCACTTGAAATCACTCTACATTTAGCTATTTAGCGGAAGCTTTTCTGTAATGTAATGACTCTAAACAACATCAAGGAAATAAACATACAAAAAGCCCATTAACAGTCTCTGGGAAATGGCAGGGCTGCTTTAAAGCAATAACCATGAAGCAGGAGTGAGCTAGGTTAGCTATACTCATTAAGTCTCTAATGGCAGCTAAAACTAGGAACAACTAACTCCTGAGAAGACACTGAGGCACTGAGAAGGAAGAAATGATACAGCTGAAAATGATAGTCACAAGGCTGGAGGCTCCAAATTCAATTTGCTGGTGATCAAAAAACAGCATTCAAAACACGGATTTGGGGCTGTTAATTTGACGGCTACAAATTTGAGGGCCGGTCCAAAACACTGTTTTTGTTTTCTGTTCTGCTTTCTGTCAGTGTGCTGGGCAGGCCCTGACGCTGGCTCACCACTCCAGGTGTAATCTGTAGTTTCCCCCTGCAGGACTAGCAAGACAAACATTTCAGCTGCACTCTGTGTATGCATGTGTGTGTGTAAGCTTGATTACTTTGAGCCAATATCTCCTACAGACAGTGCCATCTTTGTTACACTCAGATATTTCCCCCTGCTACCTTGCATTAGTCTGGGCAGCTCCCGGCCTTACTGTTAATGATAGAAATCGCTGAAGTTATTAACCGATTACACATTCTCCATCAGATTAAGACGGCTGTACTGGCCCGCTCCCGCTACGGGAATTAGCGCTACACGTTTCTCTTCACGCCGTGTCCTACAATGACACTTCACAGCCCTTCATGGCACTTGTTATTGCCAGGCAAGTTGCTAAAAACAGCTTTTAGTCGTTTCGAAAGCGTGTGTGTTTGTGTGAGATATGAGGGAAGGTGGGCGAGTGTTTCTATTTTTTCTCTCTTTTCCAGGAGTTCAGGTACGTGCCATGGAGAGTAGCTGTCACCTTCATCACTGAGAGGCACTCTGTGTAACTCATGCAGTATTTCCCTGTGGTTTAGCAGTGTATGGGTCAATATAGTTTTAATTTGGAGGGCTAGGTAGGGCATGAAGTCTAAACTGAGACTGACGCTAAGCCAAATTTTATTTTTACCTTAATCCTAGATGTCTGATTTATCTATAACGACTTATAAAACGTAACATTTCTGAAGCTCTGTGTATTGTGGCCTGCTGAGCTGTAGCAAGCCTCACAGAGAAGAGAGGAGAGGAAGAGCATGCTGCTTTGTGACTGAGATGCAGGGCGACAGCTGACCTATAAGGGGCTGACTCACCCCCATGTTCACTTCACCACTAATATATTCACTTAGTAACGCTCAGGGGATGTGCAGTTCCGCTGTGTAAAAATGGCTGGGCACAACAACTCTATGTATGCATGTTAGAACACAAACAAAGCACACACATGAGGTCTGAAGCATGTCGGTCTGGCGGTAACAATTAACCAAAAAGATGCTAACTCCGAGATACAGGAAATGGTCCACTGGTTGAATTTAAGCAACAAAATAAGATGTGACATGTGCTGTGCATGTGTGTATTCATATACACTGCTAAAAAGGAAAGCAAAAAGAAGTAGCTATCCATTTCTACAGCAGAGAGACAGTCGGGGAGAAGGGGCCTGAGGTTCAGAGAGGCCAGTCAAGTACCCATCCATCTCTAAGGAAAAAAGACAGAACATCTCATCCAGAACAAAAAAGGGGACTTAAGAGCCTCGGATTGTAAAGAAGGAGAAGAAAAGAGCAGAGAGACAGAAAAAGATACGCAGACAGAGGCCTGAGTCTTATCAGCGGAAGATTAGTGCAAGAGATAAGGCCTCTAGGCAAGGCGTCGTGTTTAGCCTGTTTGAGGCTTCCTGTCATCATCATTAAGGCCGCTTCTCCGATGGCCACTGCAGAACAGAGCAGCCATTTGGAAAGACACCCAGTGAGGAGGAAGATGAAGGAAGACAGGACCGTTGGTCAAAAACACGATGATGGCTATATTAAGTCTAATGAGCAGTGTAAGCACAATCCCATGCTGTGGTGAAGGCGCTTGAATCCAGGCCTTTGGTGAGATGTAGAAACACTGCAGAATGTTATGGCTGTCCTAGTGTATAATTATATCTCCCAGTTTTATTTTCCACAATAATTATGGTAAAAGTGTGGCGATCTTCTTTAGGATGCTCACTGTACTTAAACATTATAAAGATATACAACAGAGAAGTGTGGGGATGTATTTTTCCACATGAATTAACAATTATAAAAAGCAGGGATCGTCATTATCAAGCGCAATAATCGAGTTACAGCCTCCTGACTAAGATGCTTCTCATCTAATACCTTGTCATCTGTCCTCCCCTCAACCTGTACACATCTAATGTAATACTTGACTGCTATATAAAAATGGAATGTAATGCTTATTGTCCTCTGAAACCCAAACAGAAAACCTAGTCTAATGAGGCAGTGGTTTGCCTTGGAGATGGGGGGAGGGAGGGTTGTCTGCTGAATGTAGCTGGCTGACTGGCTGACAGTAACTGTCTGTGACGCTTCCCTGCCACAGGAGTCGTAGGCGCTAGTGTATTGTGACAGAGTGCAACCTTTAAAGGCCATCGACTGATGCACAACAGCACCCAAACCCAGCGACTCGGCCTGTGTCGGCCTCCTCCTCTGTGTCTGCGGTGAGCACGCCTAAAAGCATCTGTGACCACACACATACAAAGGCATGAACAGTCATACTGTATACACACACACACACACACACACACACACAGACACAAGACTTTTCCTTCACTGCTCAACCAAAAAATGTCCAGTTTTAAGGAAATGTGTCCCTGAAGAGGTCCAGGCTGTAACGCAGTCAGCGTTTGTCTTGTGCATTATGATCAATTACAAAATCTGTCTGTCAGTTGCCAATTAGTGTGGCACTCAAAGCCATTAGCAGTGAGTGTGGACTAATGTAGCCCACACAGAAAACAAAATCCTCTACTGCCACCTGCTGGTCAAAGTTACTTATATCAATATTTCAAAGAGAGAACATCAAGAAATGTGATTATTTATTGACTGTTTTGGCTTTTTGATCTCCTCTGGAAGGTCAGGACACAGGAGCAACTCTGCAGGGATTCAGCGGTTTACTGACAACACTGGGTCCTTAAGATGAACTCATCTAAGCTAAGACTTATGAGTGATGGAAAAACAATAAAACAAGAAGGAAGAAAGTAAAGTAAAAAAGAATGAAACAAAGAAATTATGTGGGTGTACTGAATAAGTCTGTGCATCTCGTTAATCAGATGAAAGAGTTGGTGGTTGTGTCTGTCAATATGTTTATATGTTTGTGTGTCTTTGTACCTCTCATAGATGGTCTTGAGAGTCAACTGGTCAGACACTCCGTCAGTCTCTTCCAAAAACAGGATGATCCACGACGTCCTGTAAGGCCACTCCTCTGTCAGGTTGATCCATGACGCCAGCCGATCCCAGTTGAAGATGATCTGATTGGCCCGCAACAGACGACCTGTAAACAATGGTGTGGAGGATTAGTGGCCTTTTAAGTCACTCTGGTGTACTCTGCCTGACAAAATTATTAGCATCCTCCTAATTGTCTATGTCCATTAATAATCTGCCCAAAGTCGTGGCATTAAGAGCAGAGAAGTGGGCTTGTAACTGCACAGTTATCAGTTTTACATCAAATATACTGTAAATACAGTATACTGGCATCCATTACACATTATGGTTCAGCTACAGAGGCTTATTGTCTCAACTTTCACACAAGTTGGCCAACATCACACAGTCTAGGACTCTTGTATAATCTGTAGCTAATATATTAATACATCTGCGCCCATCATTCTTGAAATCTTAACTTGCTCTCATGACATTATTGCAAATGCAAAAAAAAGTGGAAACTGTTAACAGTGATTACGTTTGTCCAGGTCAAACTGATCTCTAAAAGCAGATGGTTAATATAACCTTTTTCTTTATTTCTCAACCAGATTACCATCTTACTGACATTTGAATATTTATTACATGAATATAAAGTAGTGAAATACACAGCTTCACTCTTAACTGGTTTTAAATAACTGTTTGAAAATAAAGTTCAGCTGTTCATTATCAGTCCACTTTATGAGAACGGCTTCAACCACACATGCTTTCCTCATGCATATTCGTTTTCTGTCTCCATCACTGGCAGCCATGACTGTTCTGTTTGAGGAGACGACACGAGGTAGCCCGAGGAACACCAATGCTGTATTCCAGATCAGATACTTTTTCTTTTTACTTCAAATTTTACAGTAGAGAATGCAACAGATACATGAGTAAGAGGGTTAAAGTTCAAGGCTCAACTTAATGACAAAGTACTATGTCCCAGTTGTATGCATACTGCATGCTATAGTGCGTACTTTGTAAGGGCAGCTCCTGTACATACTGATACTAAAAAGAAAATTAAGTATGCGACTTGGAACGCAGGGCAAGTATCGCTGCTGCATATCATTGGCTCGTTTTTGGCAGTTAGTTCAAGCTTCAAGGAGGCTACGTTTTTGATGAGAGTAAATGACTTTCTTTTTCCCAGCATGACTTCAGTGTGCATAAAGCACCGGCCTCAGGTAGCAGCAGGAAGCAGACAGGTTCCCACAAGGCGATTGAGGCAGTAATGTCAATTAATAAATAACCTTACCGTGGTTGTAAATAGTTTCTCCATATGTTGAAATTTATAGAAAGACCCAAAGTGAACAGTGTAAGTGGACTTCTTGATTACTATTGGCAACTTAGTTAAACAGCATTTGTATGGGAATGATTCTGTCCCAAGCTTTTTGATCCATACGAGTGGTTTCCACTGTAATATCTATTTTTAATTTCAATGCCTGCCTACTCTTCATTAAAATGCTTTGTTAATTCCACCGCCTCTGCAACCACATGTTGACCCCTGCTGGTCTCGAATTAAATGCCACCAGAGCTTTGTTTGTGTGTTTTTTCCTCCTACAACCCCAATAATATTTCCTTATTACTGGCTAACCATCCAGTGAGTTAAACTAGGATTTAATAACTTTGATGTTGCTGTAAAGACAACTGTTATTTGACAATTATGAGAAGCAGAATGTGGTTTATTCTTTACCTGTGATAGAAACAATGTTGAGCAGTCTCCTCATGGTCTGTGGGCTGATGTCACTGAACCAGTCCTCCGTCACCAGCAGCTTTGTCAGGTCAAAGGACATCTGTCTGGTGATGCTCCTCTGCATCTGCCGACGCCTATATGTGTCCTTTATAGAAAAATACAGAAACTCAAATTAGCATGAGATCAGAAATGTTTACAAGTTTTTAATTCGTCATGATCCCAGCTGGCTTGGCATGATTATTATGTCTCCAAGACGACGGGTTCATTTGTTGTTTTAATCCAACGTTCATGTATCACAAACTGTAGGGCAGAAATCCTGTGTGTCAAAAAAAGTAGTTAGCAGTGGGAATACACTTCAGTCTGGAGACATTTAACAGCTGTGTGCTGTGCAGGGAAGTCTTAAAAATAAGATCTCTCTACAGACAAATTGAAAGTACGAGTGAAACAAAAGCATTTACATTAGTCTTGACTCCTGCAGAGGTTTTGATTACACATGCGTCATCCCTGCAAGCTGTGCATCATGAGACAGGAGAGCAGGCGATCTCAGGTCATGTCACTGTAAAACCTTATGCTTGAACAGATCGAGGAATACATGTAGATGTGTGGATAGAGTCTCAAGTTCTATTTTATTTTGTCACTATAATGATCAACGTCTTCCATCATTCCTTCAATATCACCCATCTTTTCGTGAGCAAAACATATAATTCCCTGTGACTGCAAATAAAAATCAAAGAGCCACTGTCCAAAGCTGAACAGTCATGACACACAGGCAAGCTATTGACACAGATCTAGCAGAGAACAGCTGTGATGATATCAGACAGCTGCCATGGTCATGAGCCAAGGCGAGGCTTTTGGTTGACTTTGAAGTCGTAACGCCAGTCTCATGACCTCTTTCTCAGAGAGATGAAACATATGGCCACCACTCAGTCAGAACTGAAAAGGTCCATCATACAGACAGTCCTGGGAAGTGTGTTTTTCAATATATGTTGATTTTTAATGTAGTTTTACAGCTTTGTTGGTTCATTTAGATGATTCATTCTTGATTTGCTTAATCCTGGTCATTCTTCTTAACCTTGCTGATTCACTTTTCAATCATTCTGTAAAATACTGTCATACTTTGTGAGGGTGGATTCTTCATTTTTTAAAATAATTAATGCAATTTTTTTTCTATCCTTAACCTAAGTATGTGGTTAACCAGTATTATCACATTTATACGATTTCCTAATTTATTTTCTGTGATTCATCTGCTTTATATTGAGAAATGTTTTAAGTGTTGATCAAAATAACCATTATATATGATTATGGACAATACCTACATAGACAAAAAGGAAATATATGGTATACTTGACGAATTTGTTTTGTCTCTGCTCCCTTAATTTTATGCGTGTCGTTTCCAGGGATTATCACATTTACAATTCTTTCCTAATTTCTTTACCGTAATTTATTTGCTCAGTGAGTTTACAATGGGTTTGTAGCAGTATTTGCTAGATAAATGCAAAGACTGTCAAAATACCGGACGTAGCTACCATGACTTCACCCACTATTTTGTAGACTCCTGTTTTGAAGCCTCGAGTTCGGCGCTTTGTCCGTCGCCATCTTGTTATTTTGGAGCCAGAAGTGACCATATTCAGCCGAGTCGGTGGAGCTGTGGAGGAGCGAGGGGTGGATCTGACTCACAGGCTGTGGTGAGACCTCTCAGACAGCCTGTCACTCAGACTACCACGCCCTAAATTATACATAACTATAAGCCTTGATAAAACGTAAATGGGTGAGTTATATAAGAATTCACCCCCGTACAGTTGTCATGAATGAGAAAAGTAGCTATAAAAACCAAAACCATTTTTGTACCAGGCTGTAAACATGTTTATTTCTGCTGTAAAGTTGGGCCTTTTAACATGGGGGTCTATGGGGATTGACTAGTTTCTGGAGCCAGTCTCAAGTGGCCATGTAAAGAACTGCAGTTTTGGTTTAAGTGGCTTCATTCTTCAGCCCTGAAGGTCGACAGATAAATGAGATAAAAGTCATGAGACGATAATCGCTTTAATTTCCTTTGAGGACTAAATGGACTGAGATTGACAAGGACTTGAGGTGATTCTTACTTGATGCCCTGTTGGTGATATCTTTTTATACCTTTCTTTCGTCCTGGAACTACTGGGAAAGTAACCCTTAACACAAAGCTAACTACTGATAACATATGGGCTGTACTGTGCTACTGCTGTGCATTTGTGTTCCACTAAAGCAATACTGAGAGCAGAGTTCCAGGTAATTATTATTGTTCTTGTAAACAAGATTTAATTCCAGTAAATGGAAATAAGATGGTAGAGATACTCCTAATGTCATCTGCAACTTGAGAAGCCACATGAAAATGGAGAGCCACTAATTCATTTTCCCCTCCTGCCCTCATTTTAATCTCCACTTGTAGAAAGAGGGCCCTCCTGCCAAGAGCTAGCTAGTGGCGGAGGGCAAATAAAAAGAGCATGCCGCCCGTAATAGAAGGGCCAACACCAATAATTGAGGGTACTAGATAAACCCGAGGTACAAACAAATGTCAAACAAACAAACAAGAGAGGGAAGCGGGAAAGAAGGAGGGGTAGTGGGAAGGTCTCGCTGGGGGGAGGGAGGCATCAGCGACAGCAGCAGAGTCACTTAACCTCCTGCCAGCAGACCTGGTGCCAGTGTTTTGTCACAGGGACCCACTGCTGCTAGGCCTTGTCATTAGGCTGTGGCAACGCAGCAGGAAGGATAAACAGTCATTACATCAATTACACCAGGAACCTTGGCCGCACACCGAGCACCTCTCTTTTCGTCTCCATGTGTCTCCTTCTGTCCTCTGGCCTCTGCGCTGCTTGCCAACACCACGCCTGCACTGAACCCCCTCCCGCCATTCAGGGAGGAGACCGAACACAGAGAGCGCTGACAGTTTGTAAGGCAGCATCTCTAACCCTAATCCAATGTTTTCTATTCAAGCTGTGGTGAACTAACTGCATTTTAATTTGCTTTGATTAATGTTATGATATTAATTTCCAGCTGTACAATATTTCCGTATAACATGAGCGCTGTGAGAGTGTGGTGGGAAAACAATTTATTTTAGCCTGCTCTATGAACAATACATCTGTCTCCATTTTAAACTTTGTATTGAAAGCTTCTCTGCAATTTGTTATTACTGTTGGCTTTTTTGATTTGGTTGTTATGGGTTAGGGTGGGGTTTGAACTGCGTCTATCTAGGGTGACAAGTAGAATAAACACTGCTTGATATATTGGTGTTGGTATAACTGATTTGGCTTTACAATAATCCTACTCTTGGACTTGTATTTTTATTGATGCCCATCAATTAATCATTATCATTCTTCCTCCTATGACTCACACTGCATCCCCTACCATCTGAGAAGGGGGGATCTCTCTTTTTCTTCCTTGTCTTCTTTAGTTTCAGAGCATGGGTGGGGTTGGGAACTACTGATGTGGGGCTCTAAACCCCAACAAAACATAGTATGTGATATTGGTCTATAGACATAACCGTGAATAGCTGTTACCCTGCGGTTTAGGGCGGTCTTGCTGCCAAACTTGTCTTGGCCCAGGCTGGTCAGAGACATCTTCCTCTCCATATCTTCATGCCATCCTACAGAGAAAGAGAATAAAAAACTGAGCAGTGCATTTGAGTAAAAAATAAAATGAACAATAAATATTAAATGCCTGTATTTAAGGGTTATTACACCTTTATACAACCAGGTGAAAAGCAATATACTTCTGTGGATCCCATGTTAGTTTAGTTCCGAAAGTCACACAATAACACAAAGAAACCATTCAAGGCAGTGGTAGACCAGCAACTATGTGTTTGGCAAGGTGAAAACACTATTTATGTCGAAAAGTCCAGTTGCTGTAGACGGGGGCACCAGCAAAACAGATATATCAGCTTAATTACACATTATATTTAGATTATTTTTACCGCTTTACCTTGTTTTGGGACAGCCCCTCCAACAGCATACTGCAAAGCCACCATACTTCTTTGACAGAAGCAATTATTTTACCTTGCAGCACATGGGAGTTGCCGGTGTACCACCGCTTCAATAGTTTAGTTTGTTTGTGTTATTGTGTGACTTTCGGTTCCAAACTAACGTGGTATCCGAATTTTCTGATTTGAATACATAGGGAATGTTATAATAACCTTAAATAATAAATTTATATAAAATAAGGGAAGCATCCTTTGAAATAGCACTGTATCTACAGAACCTGTCAATTCATGCCCCAAATGGCCCCAAACTGTGTGCAGTCCACCATACACTATACAATATGTTGTATATCAGCCCTTTACCCTCAGCAGATGATGGTTCTCCATTGACGGGGGTCGCCATGCAGAGCTTCTTGGCCGTACTGAGGCCTCTGCTGTTGAGGAATACTGGCAGGTGGACGATGTTCCTCATGTAGTCATGTCCGTTGATGTTGGAGTCTCTTAGCACGCTGTTGAGGTTTTGGTTGATGGCTTTGATGATAATATGGGGGTCACTTGCAAAGATGGAGATAAAAGGGCCTTTGGAGAAGAGTACCCTCACCTGAAACGAGAAAGGAAGCATAAGTTGGTGTGTAAAGGATATCTCTCACCACCCTTTTTTATTTTTTCATAAAATGTGTTTACCAAACAAGAACTTTTCGTGATGCTTTCAGACACAGGCTTGTGAACTTTGAGTGTCTACTACTTTAGTGTCAAAATGGTAAGTTTACAATCTAATCAACAACATGTCAGCTAGAGGCACCAGTCAGCCGTAGTACTTAAAGTTAACGACACCCGTGAGAACTGACTGTCTGCAGCACATGGTGTCGGGGATTTCCACTCTGCTAACTAAAGGACATTGTCCAAGTGTCACAGGACATCGATTTGTGCTACATGCATACATGGTTTGTTAACCCCTGGCCAGCACCATCAGCCTAGCCCCACAAGATCATGAACCTCTGTCCCTACAGCAGCTGTCAGCACCATCAGCTCAGGGCACCATCACATGATCTGCATCTTTGATGCAAATTATCTGGTCGGAAAAGTACACAGACTGGAGGAAAAAAAAAAAGATTAAATTTGTGTAACCTACGAAAAAAGGATTTCAGAGTGCTGTGTTTGAATCTCTCTGAAAACAAGATGGTTTCAGAGTGACTGGGAGGTGCTTGCAGAGATGAGAAGATTACATTAGCACACAGGAGGTTGCCATCTTCTCTGGGATTACTTCATCAAATAATAACATTTGGCTAAAGGAAATTTTATTACAGCAGCTGGGAGGAAGAATCTAAACTTGGAGGAGAGCTGAGGCAGCTGGGAACACCAGGGTGGCTGCGCAGCACTGGAGATGTGTGGGCTCTGTGTACACAGGTGGGAGACCCACTAAAGTTAAAGCCAAATGGCGGCAGCTCTACGACAGTCTGTCTCATGGTAAGAAATTTGCTTGAGTGACAGATGTTGAAAATATAATTGCTTTATAGTATCTCATGTTATCAGTCAAAAGGAAGCTCCACTCATCATTTTTGTTCCCACACACACATGTGGAAACACACACCGTGTCAAGCATCTGCAGAACTCTGTCCTGCTCACAGGCGTCCAGTCCGTCTATGATGACAGCCATGCGTGTCTGGTTCTGGGTAAAGCCATCAATGGTTTTGGCCATTTTTGACATCAGCTCTACTTCATGCTTCAGAACCTGGTGTGAGACAGGAAAAGTAAATCAATTGCTAAAAACAAGGACAAAGGAAATTGATTGGTTTTAGGAACTACAGCGTCATAACTTCACAAGCAAATGGAATGCCCCTTTAGCCACGACAACAGGATGTCGAAGGATTTGCATTCATCCTTCACTGAGTACAATGAATAAATTGTTTTAGTCTACCTTCATAAAGCCTTCACTCTTGAGTCTATGCATGTTGTTGGCAGCACTGTGCAGCCGTTTCCTCTGGGAGTTAAGGACAGAGTCGGCCACCTGCCACCAGGTCCTACAGTTGAGGAGTAAGGCCAAGCCCACCACACTGGCCATGGCTATCAGCACTGCATTCACTGTCAAGTTCTCAGAGTCCACCTGGAGAAATGAAAGCATTGGAACTGATTAGTGGGGCATCCTGTCACCTAGTGGTTAGAAGGCGTACTGTTTAAACACAGTGTATCCAGCTCATTACACTATTAACCCACCTTAAAGATGGCCAACAGAGCCATACCAGTGATCAGGCATCCCAGTGTCAATGCAAACAGCACGAAGGAGGGAACACAACATGTTTTCTTCCACTTCTTACCTGCAGTATGAGATGAAGGTAGAAGATAATGTGAGAGAGACAGAACACTAACAAAAACTATGTTTCCTATGCACACTGAATTACAGCAGCCTTCACATATTAAGACTGTTTAAGGAAGGATGAAAGAAAACCATCCATTTTGAGCAGCAGTTATACTTACCTGAGCTCCTCTATGCTTTCAAGAGTGTCATTCTTTCGACAGCATTCTCAATCTAATTTTGCAGTGATGCAAAATTAGATAAAATACCAATAATTCAGGGGACCTTGTTTATTATGCTATTAAACAGGACAGCACACATTCATATTTTAATTTGCCTGCCACTAATGGCAGGCAAATTAAAAGGGACGTTACTAACTAAATATAGACTAGTTGACTTGTCTAAAATTAAAAAACAGTCTTAAGCAACATTTAATTGACTAGTTAACTGATGTCACACATCCTATCCCTATTTAATGCAAGCTTGTAGTTGCAAATATGCTGTATGATTTTTAATACAAACTGCAGGTCTGATTGTGACGTTGTGCGCTGCCATAAGAGTCATCACGTGACTGACATCTAAAGCCAAAGATGGCAACATCACCTTGGACCTCATCGTTCTTGAAAACCCTGAAGAGCCTGGTGGCCATGAAGCCAAACTCCCTCTCACAGGCATCAGAGAGCGTGGCAATCATCTCAGCCATAGAGGTCTCCCCTCCAACGCTGGAGAGACGGTTGTAGTCTGTGAACAGGAACCTGTGTGACATGTAAGAGACAGAAATGATGCTTTGATTTGTTAGGTTACACAGGAACTGGGACTGTTCATTTTAACAATGTTGTGAACACTTAAGTAGTGATGTAACAGTCATACTAACCCATCTCTTGAGCTTTAAAACTCACAATAAATGCAGAGGTGAAGTGTTTAGATTCTTCCTTAGACCTGTGTGTCGTGTGTGTGTGTTTGTGTGTCACTATCACCTGACAGGCAGTGCACGGGTGGTCTGCTCAGGAAGTTCAGGGGGGTTGACAAACATCAGTTTGAGCAGCAGCTCCAGGTAACCGACCTGGCGAGCCAGACGGGTGCTGATGACCCACGCCCAGTTCCAGCTCTCCCTCTCACGCCGACTTCCAAAGTACACCAACACTGGAGACAGTGGGGGAGACGGAATTGTTTCAGCTTTGTAGTCAGGTAACAATATGGTTAAGTTCTATTCATAAACAAAGGTAAGTTTTTTAAGAGAACTTACCTAACTTTTTCTCTTAAAAATCAATAACAATGTAGGCTAAAAAGCTTAAGTCATCATCATGCTTGGTATTAGCTGTATAATGGCACACTCTCGTGATCAAAGCAGTTTCAAAAGTTCAACACAGAAAACCTTGTATAAATATCAATATTACCAACGTTATTTTATTTTATATCTATCTTTACTTTTATTGGTATTCTCATTTTTTTATGAAAGCAGAACACAAGTACATGGCCTTATGTGATACAACCACTTCCCAGGAGGCTGCTCTCCTTGAGGAGCAGGTCAAATGAAAACTACATTTCTCCACACTCATCACTTATTGCATCAGTGTTGCATTTCAAGCTCATCTGTCTCCTCACCAAAGAAGATGTAGAGCAGAGCGAGGAGGCTGAGGGAGACGGCGATTGCCAGCCTGGGATCAACAGTGAAGCCCAGAACCACGGCCACTGAGCCGCAGAGAAGCAGGGTGAGGAAGACAACCAGCCAAGAGAACTGGAACAATGGCTCTATCTGCTGGCCTGCGAAGGTCTTCATCTCATCTAATGGACAAGAGGAAGGAAAAAATAATCAAATACAGGACAGTATGTGGATATAAAGCAATATTAAAACAGACCCACTGAACATCATTTGTTAAGTGTTACAGAAGGCACTGTCTAATTTTTCCCAATGCAGTTCTTTTCATCTTTGTACAAGACCATTTTAATGCTGTGAGCTTACTTACCCTCCAGTTTCTTAAGAAGGAAAGACTTGCCGCTGCCCCACTGAGCGTACAGTCCAACACAGATAGGTGGCTGCATGGTGGGCTCGCTGAGGATGTCTGCTAGAGCACTGCTATACAGGTCATAACCCAACATGTCTCCATCTGAATCAGAAGGGGACAGGTGCTCTGACAGAGAAAAAAAGATAAGGAAGTGCAGAAGAAGAGGACAAAGTAAAACAGTTCAATCTTTTCTGATTTCTGAACAACAAGGCTGTGAGCGTGTTTTGTCACACAATTCTTTCTGAATGAAATAGAAACACGGGTCATACTGGCTCCAAATATCTGTGTGAGGATGCTTTTCTGGTGGGTACAGTCGATGTTGTACGGTGTCTCTCCAGCTTTGTTGGGGCGATAAAGCAGGCGGCCGTCTTTAGGATTCCTCAGTAACAGCTCAGCCAACTTTCGGCTTCGTCCTCGGATGGCAATGTGGAGGGGCGTGTCTCCTTTCTGAAGGAAGAAAAACACTGAGTTGACTGCTTTTTGTTACTATCAAACTAAAAAGTAACGTTCAAGAAATCACTCCAAAGACAAAGCATACCCCAAATTACTAAACTAAATAACTATTAAAATCCTGTTATGAGAGGATTTTCTGTACAGGTGTGTGTAATGTGCAAGTGTGTTTTTACAAAGTACCTTTTCCACAGCAGACACCTTGGCTCCTTTATCCAGCAGAAGTTCCACTATCTCTATGTTCCTCATTTTTGTGGCTTTAATAAGTGGGGTCTCTCCCTCCTAAAATGCAAGGACACACACAAACACTGGACTTTAAAATCATTGGTTCCAAACCGAAGGGTCTCGACCTCCACTAGGGGTCACCAAAGCTTTACAACTGTCACAAGGCCTTCTTGATTTTAAGAAGTGTAAGTAGATGTTTTGGAAATATATACATTGGCCTATATCTCTGCATTTCATTTATTTATGTGAAGAAAACAAAATAAAATTGTTATTTTTGAAATTGTGATATTATTCAAAATATAAACTTAAAAAATCTCACATGATAAGGGCACAGAGAAGACCTGAACACAAGCTACATTCACAAAGCCTTCACTCTGATAAACAGCCTCATCCTGTATTTTAAAAATGCACAGTTTAAACAAAGAGCTAACTGAACAATGGCCAAGCGGCAGGGTGAAGAAAACACTGAATTTGTCAAAATAAAAAAAAAAATAATAAAAAAAAAACCTATTAAGTATGTATGGTTGTTAAAGTAAAAATAAAAAAATACACAACACAGACAAAAAAATAAAAAAATAAAAAAAATTCCTAAAAACATCAGAAAAATTCATCTCTGATGCAATACTGTCAGAAAATAATCTGCTTGAAATTCATTCATATTGCCTTTTTTTTTTTTACAGACTTCCTGTAGTAACTACGGTTAGCTTATCAGATGTTCCGTAATGTTTTTGTTATGCATTAAATATAATATGAAAACCCCATAAAATATGTCACTTAGAGGTCTTTTCTATCACTGACTTTACTTTTATATTATAAACTTGGTATATGAAATACACATGCAGGAGAGAAATGCAGAGAGAAACATGACACTTTAGAAGTAACAGTCGTGAAATTCAAAGGATAAGAGAGAGTGTATTTTACATCTTGACTACTGAGTGTGTTGTACCTTAGTGCAGCTCTCAGTGTCCGGGTTACACTGCAGGATGTCTCTCACCATGGTAGCGTTGCCTTTCTCCACTGCCCAGTAGAGGGCAGTCTTTCCATCCTGATGTAGAAAGGACATGACAAATATTAGTTTACCTTTTAAGTAATAAACCATGTCAAAAAAATCATATGGATTAACAGAGAATGTAGTGTGTTATTTTGTATTGTGCGTTGTTTATGTATAATGTGTAGCATTATATAGGGCATCAATCACAGGGCATTATATACCATTAATCACTGTGTATGTTTGTGTAATCCCATGGATTAAAATTCACTTTACCCAGAAACAACAGAGGGACATATCACATAGAGAAAACAAACACCCTCATGCCTGTATTTAAACATCAATATGGTAGTGAAGATAGTGGGAGAGGAGACCCTACCTGACCCCTGACGTCAATATCAGCATATTTGTTCAGCAGAGCTCGGACTATTTCCACATGACCTCCTCTCACTGCTCCAATCAGCATGGTCTCCCCACTCTGACAGAGATAGTGAAAGAGACAGAAAGCAAAAACAGAAGGAGAGGCACAAATTTTGTTTAAATTATGTTTCATTTCATATCAACTGCTTTTCCACGTCTTCAAACAGCAAGTGCGCAATGCTGCTGTAGGGTGGCCTCACCCTGTCTAGGATATTGACATAGGTGCCTGCATCCAGCAGGTCCTGCACGATCTCAGTGTGACCCTCCTTGGCAGCGATGGCCAGGGCCGTGTTGCCATCCTTGTCTGTCATGTTGACATTTGGGTTCCTCTTCAGCAGCTCCTTTACAACCTTTGTGTAGCCGCCTTTCACCGCCACAATCAGAGCTGTCATCGAGTTCTGAAAAGACACAGGGAGGAGAGATTTAAATTTAAGGTTCTTTATTTCTAACCCTAACATTTCAAAATTACAGATGTTTCTCTCTACTTGAATGGGGGTTAGGATTTTGGTTGGTGTTCAGTATGTTTTAAATATTTTTACTGAGCCAAAGAAGATTATATATACAGCATTGTTGTGTCAATGCATGAAAGAATTATAAAATCATATCTATGTACAGTCACAGATATAAAACAGATGATACAGAAGATATGGGATTGTATTTTAAGATTGGAAAAGTGTCAAAAATATGAAGCTCAAAAAGAGAAAGGAAAATTTTGCAAAATAAAGGAAATAGTAATTTAAATAAAAACACAGAGACAAAGACAAAGATAAATAGATGTGATTATGCAAAAAATGACAAACAGTAAATCTAAGAATTGGCACATAAAGACAGGGCACTGTAGAAACAATGATTTATCTTTCGTTAGTGTGCATTCAATACGACAAATGTTCAATAATTTATGGCTGAAGATTAACAAATTGTTTTCCCCAAATGTTATCAGTTTATCTCAGCAGCTCTGGGAAACACTACAGGCTAAATGGCAATTTATTATTGATATATCTTCCAGCAAGCCCAATAACTCATATATTTTTCCAGGCTATAGAGTCTCTAAATCACACGTAAATTAATTGCCGTGCAACATTAGCTACTATAGTTCCATCTGATTATTGATGCTACGTATCAAACCATCACATCGTTCAGTCTGTGACAGCACAGATGCAACATGACTCGAAGGAGCACAGATGCGCTGCGTCACTGATGCAATCAATTATTTAATATTGCGGTTTACTAATGAGCTTGTGGCGCTTGGGAGCATTAAATCTTGATTGTGTGAAAGCAACACAGGCCGCTTTGTGTGTCATGGCACCCATGATGAACCCAAAACAAAATTAGACTTGCTCAGCTGTTAAGCTACCTGTTCAGACTACCAAATCAAATATTAACACTGTTTAGGAAACACTGCCTAACATTATTATGGCAAATAATTGTGGGTGCAAAGCCAAATAGGAGGTGTTGTGACGTAAGCATCAGCACCATTAAAAAATAAAATAACAATTTTCTACATTTTTTCTTAGACTTCAAACTTTCAAAGGCTAAAAACTGCAATTATAATCAATATTACTGCGTAGATGTTGTGTTCAAATGTAATAAATTAACATCATTCTATAAATTTATTGATAAAAATTCTAATATTGCTCTTTAATTAAGTATCGAGTACTAGAGCCATTGTCAGTGGAAAAAAAAAAAATAAACAACAGAAATAAAATGGAGCTGGGGAAGGGGGGTTATATTCAGAATATCCAAGATTAAAGCCGTAAAATAAAAGAAAAAATATGTGGATATTATCTGACATTAAAGTGGTGAATTTATGGGGGAAAAAACTAATTTAGGCTAACATCAGAAAAATTCTCTGAGGTTAAGGTAAAAAAAATTACAAGAGAAAAGCCTTTAGAGCTTTCTCCCAGAAAGTCAGGTGACGCAGCATTAAGAGCAACATAGAGAAGAAGTTGTGGTCAATGACTGGGTCAAGCACAGGACTTTTACCCAGGAGACTGGGGTTCGTGTCCAGTGTGAGTGAACGTTGATCTATTATTTTTAGGCTTAGATGATGTATAGTTCTCAGTTTTGATGATGTATGAAGTTGCTGAATGCACAGTGTTCATATACTTTAGCAGAATAGCTAGACAGACCATGTTAATCTCATATTTTGATGTTGCTAGGACAGCTAATTCTGATGGTCAGGTAATGTCACAGAAGTCGGCACAACTTTCATTTTGGACCTATTTTTAAACTATGATGGGATGTCTCGATTAGATGTTTAAAAGGTCATTCATTGTCTCAGTGTGGGATTCCGGTGGTGTTTGTAGTTTATTGAGGTCTTTCCAGACAGAAGAATCTACATCTAAAATGCTCAATCTGGTCTTATTCATAATTATGTAAACTACAATTGTAAATTGCAAGTCTACTTAATTCCAACTTGACTATCATTCAAAATATTTACTAGTCACATTAACAGCAACAGAAAACTTTTAGTGTACAAAAATCCAATAAGGCTTTGTAAAGTCAAACCATGTGAGGTCTTCCTAGATGAAAGCATCGTAGTGTTGGATCTCTACTGACTGTGACTGACAAATAGTAAACAACAGCCCCGTTTCCACCAAGTAGTCTGGTTCAGTTCAGTTTGTTACACATTAAAACAGTTATTTTTGAGTTTCCATTGTCAAAAGTTGTGGATGGCAACAGTAGAATGGTTCCATTTTTTCATACCTACAGTAGCACACTGATCCGATACTGAAAGGTGCAACTATTAACACTGCAGTCTGCTGATTTGGCAAGAGAGAGTCCTTACTCATACTCTACAAGGACTCAGTGTACAAACCCACTGTTTTTCAACATCCCATCGATTGTGACAGAGACTGTAAATACTCAAGCCTGCTCTTTTTTGTTCTGAAAATGTCAGCATGCAACCCCATTCAGCTGACAATCAGCAGTGACGTGGCCATTAATATCCGTCTTACTATCTGGTAACAACCCTGTCTATATTTTAGAGTACTGTCTGCAGTGGAAAGGCTAAACAGATTGTGGGATAAGGTACATGTAGGTACGGGTTCAGTAACAGTTCTATGAGTACTATAACTTGAGTGTTTGGTGGAATCACAGCTAACCAGTCACAGGAAATCTATAATCTACCTACCGCTCCTTCTTGGTCCACATCAGCTCCGTTAGCCAGAAGATGCATCACACATTCATAGTGGCCCTTCCTGGATGCCCAAATCAAAGGAGTGGTACCATACTGCAGAGACAAGTGCATGACAAAGTGCATGAGACATAAGTGGCAAGATACTATTTAGTCAAAACTCCAGGGACTTGCAAATAATCATGAAAGAAGGATGATAAATAAAGGAAGAAGGCAGAGGGACTTATGGGAACAGGAAGCTGGACGTGGACCAAAGCACTTGAATGTCTTTAGCTCGTACCACTAACTGCATCATCTGTGTGATTAAAAACAAGTAAATGATGAACATCTGTCAGTATGTAGTTACCTTGTCGGAGCAGTTGACCTTGGCTCCGTGCTGCAGCAGGAGATGGACAATCTCTGCGTGGCCTCGACCTGCCGCCCAGATAATGGGGTAGACGCTGTACTGTTGGGCCAGAGGAGAGGGGTGAAGTCATGCTGACAGTAACTAATGATCAGTGTCAGGCCTGCGGTCGAACTAACGCTTTAAGCCACCTTACATGACTGAAACAGCAGATGATGGGGAGGCGTCGCGCTGTGCAGGTGATGAGCAGGATTGTGGTTGTGTTCAAATTTTTGTTACTCTGAATTATGTATGTGTACAGACATTTACAACAAAGGTATGTCAGTTAAACAGTGATCTGAAACATTGGATTACATTTACATGGAGTAGAACACATCATGTGAACACTTTCTTCAAAATAAACTGCCCTGTTGAGAGACTATTTTCGTGTCATGTACTGAAAGCATGCCTATTATCTTTGTAATTTTCAGTACTAATATAAATGCCAGTGATGTCATTGGTATTATCAGAGGGGAACTAAGATGAAATGCAGCGTGTCCAGTCTCAGTACCTGACCAGTGATGTTGGAGTTGGCTCCTTTTTCCAAGAGCAGCTGGACCACATCTGTACGACCTTTATAGGCTCCCCACATGAGGGCAGTCCAGCCTCCCTAAGTAGGATACACACACACCGAGCAATGTTTAGTTGAACAGAGAAATTGTGAGGGCAAGAAAGGAGAGCAGAGACAAAACACCTCTTCATATAGAATATATACAGTTTATGTGATATTCTGAACATAAATAGAGGTGTTTTCATCATAATAAGGTGTAAGGGTAGTCACAGTATTAAATTCAAGCAGCAGAGGTCAAATCTAAGCAGCTTTTGCGGTAGGAAAATGTGCTATTTACAGCTGGTGTGACACACTTTCCAGTGAGTGAACCATATCACGCAGTGTGGTTTATTATAATCCCACTGTGATGACTGGCTGTGATCTGTCCTGTGCAGCTTAGACACGCGACGCACGGCAATGAGTCAGTCAATGTCCTGAGTCCATAAAGTCACAGAAGCCAAGGATGTAAAATCAGCTCTGAATGTCTCATCGCATGTGATAAAATAGTGAAGGCAATGTGCCAATACAGTATCCTTCTGGCTGATAGAAATGCACACTGCCTCATGTGCTGGGACATCTACATTGATACCAAACCTGCCCAGCCCCAGGTAATAAATATGTGTATCTCATCTGCATGTTGTCAATAGTCTGCTCATGAATACAGAAAAGCAGCTACAGCAAGCCTGCAGACTGCTGTGTGCATCTGAAAGGTCTCAATTCCAAGGCTAAATCATATCACTGCCCCATGCAGAGACAAGCAGAGCTCAGGAAATGGGATTACTACCAGAGAGGCGCCATCACACGTAATGTAATTTCATTTTATGTCCATTTCAAGGCTAATGGTTCATCCTGTCCAACCAGCACTGGGGTCATTCCATTTTACAGAAATCATTAATGTAAATACAATCAAGACTTTATTATATTTTCAACTGTATAAATGCTACATATTACTGTACTGTAAGAGTCAGTTTACAGTAAAGGTAAGAGCAGCTTGTTAATCAAACTTTGGAGTTTAATGGTTCAAGTAGAGTTAGAAGTTTGACAAAGTGTGTTAGTGTTTCATGTTGTTTAGCTATGACATCTCTATCATTCTTTAAGCTCTTCAATGGCACCAAAAGATACTGGAATTACTGTTTTTTGCAGAGTCTCCTTTACAATTGGCTGCTGAGTAGTCTGGGTGTTGCTGGACATGATATTCACCATTATCCCAGATGTGGAAATACGCCACAATCAATTTATTGTGAGTGTTTTTTTTTATCACAATCCATGATAAAATCCCTTTTGTCAAGTCATTTTGGCACAGAGGATGCATTACTTTACCTTAGTCCTGTGGCACTCTACACCCTTGTTTCATTTTATTTTTTCAACCAAATTTTTTGGGCATTTCCACCATTTTTTGATAGCAGATAAAGAAGAAATCAGGAAGGTAATGATACCTAATATTGACAAAATTTTTTGGCCTTTCCAGAGGACAGGATATCATTACTATTGTACAGTATAGATGTTCGTCATATATAAAACAAAAAAATATGTCTGTTAACAGCAGATTTTAAATAAAGAAAAACGTTCCCCTCTATGTTCTCACCATGTCTCGATGTTCCAGGTTCGCATTGTTCTCCAGCAGCTCCCTCACCACCTCGATGTGGCCCTCCTTAGCTGCAGAGATCAACGCCGTCCAGCAGTCCTGCACACACAGACAACCTGTTACTGCAGGAACTCCCATCAGACTCCAAATCCAGTTGGACAAACGTCTGTCCGAGCCCTACGCAGGACAGCTTGGGACCCTTCCAACCACTATACCTACCAGCTGGTCATACCAGGTGCTCATGGGAACACGGTGTCGCATGGACAGACAGGAGTGTCAGAGAGTTAAGCGTGAAAGACAAGTGCAATATAGTATGTTATGCTTCGCCTCTCTTCTTCCGTGTTAGTACAAGACTGAGCACAAGTTTGTGTGTGCTATGTGTAATAGCAGGTTACATGTACGTGAGATGTTAATGAGAGGTGTAGTGTGTGAGCATGCATGCGTGTGCCACAGTGGGAGGGTAAAATGCATGCGTGAGTGTGTGCGTCTGTAAGGGGCTGGCTTCTGGAGGCACAGGGTGTTGGCCAGCAAGTGGATCCTGTCATTTAGTCAAAAGAGCGAAGGTAAAAGTGTGTAATAAGTTGTCATTATGGCTCATGATGGCTCATAATAGCTGTGGACTAAAGCCCAAGTGTGGTGAGTTCAGCAAGATGGAACATCAAGACCACTGGTTCAGCTACGTCTTCTCTGTCAAGTGGGTAACGTGGTAAAAATGACCGCATTGTTTTTCACCTGTGCCTGGATTCCTGTATGCTCTCAATGTTTAATATAACGCCACGTGTGCTTGTGTGTGAGGGTGTGTTCATTTTAGGCATTTTGGGATGTTGTGTGTCTGTGTCTGCTTACAACGTCATCCAAGTTAACGTTGGCTCCTCTCCTAATGAGCTCTTGTACTATCTCCAGATTGCCCTGCTCTGCCGCCACCATCAGGGGAGTCTGTCCAATCTGGAAAAAAAAAGGAGGAGAGTGAAGGAACTGAAAAAGCGATAAAGATTTTAACACAACATCAAGCTAATTACTTACACTGTTTTCTATGTAACCCTCTGAGAACTGAGAAAAGAAATGGCAGGCAGCAATACTGTTTGATTATTTCACTCAGATCCTGAAACATAACCTGATAATTGATGCCTTAATGCAACATGGCCTACACATACAAAGCTTTTCTATTAGTCAGGTTAGAAATGGTGTTATTCTACATTTTTCTTATTGTAATCAAAACCATTTATTAAATAAATACTTCCCTAAAACAACTTTAAATGTGGGTTTGTTCACTTGTGAGTATTTCCAGCAGCAGGATGGTTGAAGTTGGACTGACATTAAAATAAACCATGTGCCCATGGGCATGAAAACGAAGGAACAGTTTTTAAATTTTTTAAGTTTTTGGACAACAATGGGGGTCTATGGCACAAAAAAAGAGTTATATGAGGGTTTGGCTTTCTAAACTCAAAACATCAATGCTAACATTTTTATACAAGTGCTTAGTGCCTATAAAAAGTACTGACCCCACTTGGATTTCTTTCTTGCTTATAGGCCCAGTGTGTAAGATTTAGGGTGATTTAGTAGCATCTAGTGGTGAGGACTGCGCATTGCGACCAGCTGAAACTTCTCCTGGTTGGAATTCCTTCACTGTTCATTATCCACAGAGGTCTCTTTCTCTCCAAAACAAATGAACCAGGTGATTAAATCCAGTAAAAACACTGAATAAAGCAGTTTCATGTTACAAATCAGTGTTTCTCTGATGCTGTTTGGCATATTGGAGCCCAGCATCTGCTTATCTTTGCTCACCTTTGTTCTCTGATAACTTAGGAAACAGACGTTCAGGAGGTTTTTAACCGAAGCCAAATTATCCACAAGGCACTCTTCCTCTCCAAAACAAACGGACCAGGTGATTTTTACAAGTAAAAACATGGTGACCTCCGTAAAAGAGGGCTCACTCCCTATCTAGATATAAACGGCTCATTCTAAAGTGACAAAGACACAATTTTCATTTTCAGGTGATTATATAGTCAAGAAAACATAGTTATTTTACTGTATCCATCTCTACGAATACATCATCCTAAATCCTGCACACTGGACCTTTCAGTTTTTGTTGTGTTTTCAGAGAGATATAACAGAGCAGCACAACAACATTAGCACAAAAAATAAAGTAAGACAAAGCAAATAAAAATATACAGTAACAATGATTGGTTGTCTCTGGTTTTTTTTTCAGGTTTTTTTTTCTTCTCAAAAGGTATGTCAACTTTTCCATGACAAAAATGTCTTTGCCCTTTTAAGTTTTCATGTTTATCCCAATACAAGATTAAATCAAAGCAGGTTTTATGTCATTTTGTTTTACATTGATCAATAGATAAAGATGCTTAAATGTCAAAGTGAAATTAGATCTACACAAAGTGACAATGACACATGAAAACTTCCTAGGAGAGTAGATACTTTTTATAGGCACTGCATCTCATACATGGCCAATTTAAAGAAAAAAGATTAACCATTCATAAACCAAGCACAATACCATGTCTTGTCTTCTCTCTGCAGGCAGCTTTACAAGTTTCAGTAGTATTGTTTCACTACAGCAGAGTGAAAAAGTGATTCTAGTATGTCTTTTCCCACATAATCTCAGAGAGCCTATCTTCACACTGCTCTCCAAAATAAACAACTTGAGCCAACGGGAGAGTTGCTGTGATAAGGCTGACTTACATCACTCCTGCTGTCCAGATCTCTGAACTTATCCAAATGTGCTTTGATGGCAGCCAGGTTCTCCTCCTCCACGTAGCCGAACAGACTCTGGACGGCCAGAGAGGTCATCTTCAGGGAGGTGGTGGTATCCATGGCTGATCGCTAACCACCTGTACACTGCTGTGGAGCCAGAGCAAAGCAGGTAAGCATTCACAAACGGCTAAAAGTACTTATAGTTTCTATGTGGCCAGCGTAGCTAAATGTACAGCACTGCTAAGAGAGAAGCAGAGAGGTTAAAGCCAGGAAGAGGGTGTGGTGAATCTTTGAAGCAATGCTGGGCAATAAACAAGCACTGTCCAAACCCAGCTCACACGAACATACTCACCCATAAACAAAAAACAGAGGCTGCATCTTTAAGCTATGAACGACATATAATCAGAGAAGAGGGTCATATTTCAAAAACATCTGTTTAAGTCTCATTAAAAAAGAAAAAACATGGAAATATGTTGTGTAAATGTAGACTGATTTAACAAATTATTACCAGTGTGGCTTGAATGTGTGTGGGCTTGCTTTTTTGCATGCATTTTTTGCACGCTGTATTATTTTAAAAACAGGCTAGTACCTTTTATATTCATGACTGCCTTTTAACTAAAATTACACTTTTACTTCGGCTTCTAATTTGCCATTTTTACAATAAAAATTTTAATTATTTTACTTTAATCTCTTTATTTCATACTTTTTTATTCTTCCTACCTGTGTCTTTTTAAACTTCTTTGTATAAAATAAGTTTTATGCACTTTTATTTCCTTATACCTGTTTCTTTTTAAAAATAAAAAACTTTATATGCAAAGCACCCAGAGCTGCCTCTGTTATGAAATGTGATCCATTAATAAACTTTCCTTGCTTTATATTAATTTTTAACTTTTTAAAGTTAAAGCAGATAGTCAGAACGTGTCATTCTGTTATATAAACATCTGTATCTTACCAGGCACATGCACATAACTCCACAAATTTTTTAGGACACTTTAGGACACAGTTATTTGTCCCTTTCAACCAGTATGTGAAAGTGTGGTTACAATTTGGACCATGCACTCAACATGCTCATTACACAAGAGCGAACAGGGGCATTTGTTTTCAATTTAGTTCAGTCTGGCTGCTCATGCTGAAAACATGAGCTCTCTGCTCGGTAACATGAAGGCAGAGCAGTCACAATGCCCCACTTAAGAAAGTCTAAGTCATCAAATGCAACCGAAGACAGACAATAGTCTCTTAACTTTGATCTTTTGATGTTAATGACGCCGTGGATAATTGGTGCACTCGACTGTGTGCTCCAATTATATCGAGACCGACCTCAGCTCTACCCTCCTCCACCGCCTTAAACTGGACTTTGTGGAAGTTGTGTGCGCTGAGGAAGAAAAGTACTGTTTTGTTAAGTGCCTGAAAGTAAAAAAGGTGCACAATTTCACTGAAACTGCTTTGCATTGATGGGAAAATAGCTTTAATATGTAGTTAGGGTAGCACTTAGTTGGGGAGATTATCTATAATTAGGCTCCACCATTCTAAAAAATTAATTTAAACCCATGAAACACGTGCGTGTTCCTCTATTTACTGTATGTTTTTAACCATTTTTACCCTGGAGTTTAAGAGCAGTACTCACACATGATATTTCTATAACAATTGTCTACTGACAAGACAATAATAGTAAACATTAAGCTGCAGCTAATGATTATATTTCACTGCCGACTGGTCTGTATGTGTGCTGCGTGCAGTATTGATCATCAGCCAAGGCTTGTACGTCAACACACCAAGAAATCTATATAGAGAGCTGCTTAGTGTGAGCAAGAAAATAGGACCCAGGAGAATGAGACTGGCCGCTCACTGCCAGAGACACAGGAAGCTCCCAGCCATCAAACTGGTGCTCTTGGGATCCAAGGCATGGACATCATTTACAAGGGCGTCCCATGTCAACATACATGGATGTCCTGAAGAAAGATGCAGGAGTAGAAAGCACTGGCAAGCTCGCCAGACGCATGGAGGATCAAGATGACTGAAGACGCCAATGGAGGGCTCATCAGAGGACGAATGAATGAATTAGTCTGTCAGTTATTTTCTCAACCAATCCATCAGTTGATCTACAAAATGTAAGAAAGAAGTGTTTCCCAAACGCTAACTGACCACACCCAAGATGGCGTCTCCCACACCCAAGATGACATCCTCAGATGTTTTTTGTCCATAAGTCAAAGATATTCAGTTTCCTTTCAAAGAGGTGTAAAGAAACCAGAAAATATTCACATTTAAGAAGCTGAAATTGGAGAATTTTGACTTTTTTTTCTTTTCTTTTAATTACTCAGACCGATTAATCGAATGTCAAATTAGCTGGCGACAATATAATAGTGAAAGATATACTTTTCAGGATTTTCCTTAAAACTAATGTGTAGACTCATACAGAAGTAATCCCTGTCAGTCGTCACTTTAAACCCACTTGAAGTGTGTATCAGTGTATTTTTCTCTCTTCTTATTTCCTTATATTTTCTACATTCTGGCTGTTTATGGGCATATACCATCACAGAGGTCAGGTGAGGTCAGGGCTTAAATAAGAGGTGGTGCCAGACCATAATCAATAAGCATTCAAGAGACATGGTGCTGAAAAAACGCAAATGTGGTGAAGTGAAGCATCAAACGAGTGAATCTGTGGCTGGCTTTTACTTTCACTTTGGCTGGGTGTGTTTGCAAACAGTAACCGACAATCGTGTATGGTGTACCTTTAACAACTAATCACTGCACCTCTAGTACACTCACCTTTTTTTTCTTAATCTCTTTGATGTTGCTCTTTTTAAATCATATTGTTCTAACTTTGTAGTGTTGTTCTAAGTTCTCTGTACAGCACCTTGAACCTACGTCTTACTATATAACGTGCTTTATAAATACAACTGCCTTGCCTACTGCAAAACATCAGCGCTTCCCAGATATTGCATGTATAATTTCACCTGATAAAACATACCCCCCCTCAAATGTGGTTGTTTTAGCTCTAGCAGGGATTCAGCCAGTCGATAAAAAACTCATTAATGATTCATCAAGTTGGGCTCTTCCATCATGGTCAGACTCACTTCCTGCCACAGCAACACAGAATTAATCAGCTGCATTCATTGCCTGCAAGTTGCCTTGGCAATGGGGTTTCACATGAAGACTAGCAAACACGCTGCTCAATATTTCAACATAATCTGTGAGACAAGCAGCTCAGGCTCAGGTCAGTGAACGCTTAAATGTCACATGCCTGTCGGGCTGTCGGTACAAAGGCCCCAAAACAGTCAATTCAGTCAAACTCAAAGCAGACAATCAATAAATAAGTACATATTCTTTATTTTTTCTTCAGTCTGACATTGTTTGTTCAGTCAGGGATCACCTGGCAACTCTTCACACATATCAGGCAGTGCCAGGCATACATAAAGAAAATCCTTTGTGTACAGTGAAGCCTGTTGACACACCCTCCTCAGCTCCTTGTCTCTCAGCACAATGGGTGGATGATAACACCACACAAGAGCCAATCAGTAAACATTAGCTCGCTCTCTCCTGAGCAGTGATCAGATGGGAGTTTACATACATTTTCTCTAACAAAACACACACCCTGTAAAAACCAGCAGAGACAAAACACCAATAAAAACAGTTAAAGCTATAAAACAAATGATAAAAGCTGAGCAAAGAGACACAGTCTCTAGAAAACACTAAAAAAGGTAAACAGAAGAACCCCTTACCTTGGTGTAGGGTGAAGATTATGTTTATTTAGCTGTTCAACACCAATCTTTATCCCTTGTTCTCTCACACACACTATCAACAAACACTGCCAGGCTCAGGCTGAGCATCCCCCCTTCACTCAAGGCTGAATATTAGATGAGGGGGTTGGCCTACGCCCATCTTTTCCCGACACAATAGACACACGGGACCAGATTTCCATTCATTGCATGCACTGGATCAGCACCAAATTAGGCAGATAAAAGGGCAGAGACAATTAAGATGTTGGCTTAATTTGAGCGATTACAATCGAAGAGTGATGCAGTAAAGTAACATTTGGTTGATATCAATGAGTCTTGTCACTGAGTGTGTTCAAATGACTCAATTACTAATAAAAGCCAAATATGTCAAACTAATCGTGAAACGCTGCTGATTTATTAAAATATCCACAACTACAAGCCCTAGAAAATCCCCTTACTTTTACGTTGAGCTGGGAAATATTGACAAAAATAAAACTAAATATCACAACATTTTAAAGTAAAAGCCTAAATATTTATATGTATCAATAAATGGAGTATATGATAGAGCAGAACTTTAAAACAACCTGATAATATATAAAGGTTTCTGCACTGAAATGCATTTTTCCAATAAATTTCTGATTATTGCAAGTGTAAGGGGCAGTGTGCGATTTATTATATTCAGCCCATGGTCTTCTCCAACGCACCTGTCGACCTATAGATAAGCAAAGGTTTCGCCTTTTGATCAGTTGGTCTACAAACTGTCACAAAAAAGTGACATAGTGTTAAAAAAAATTCCCCAAACCAGTTGACATTTGTTTTCATCCATTACAAAACAATACATTCAAAAATGATCACATTAAAATAAGTTGCAACCACAGAGTTTTTTTTTGGCATTTTTGCTTTTTAGTCGATCATCTTAAGTGTTTCCAATTAATTTTCTGTCAATCTACTTGTGTATTAGGCTAATTGACAAGTGATTTAAACTCTGTAGAGAAATGTTTTAGTGTTTGCTTTTAGTATAAATTTACAAGCAAGAACAGGAAGACACAAGAAGAGATTTTGAGTAAGGAAATTTGTTGTAGAGTGGATGAACAAACAGGTACAGGAAAGCACTGTTTGTCCCAGGCCTGCCACTATAACATTAAATAAGGGCAGAAATATTCATCACATAAGTGTAAAGCAAGAAAACACACATTTAAAGAGATCAAAACCCCTGGATGATATCTTGCCTGGTTTTACTACACCTCAATATTATTTATATCAGTATTTTATAACACCTAGACCTGCTTTTAGGTAACATATAATCTAGTATTTATGTGAAAACACAGGCTACCTGATGTTATCATGCTGCTATCTGAAGACACACAAACATGAACTTGGGAGGCACACTGGATAGGATCTCTAAATTTAACAGTCAGCTCCTAGTGGCTGGTCATGTGGGTATGAAACTGCTGAGGATTCAGTTCCCTAAGGCATGCCAGGGTCTGCTCCAAGAAACAGGTCTACTGAGGTGTATGGAAAACTTTAAAAGCAAAACTGGGAACTGGTCTTTTTGCATCAGTTTATAGCCAAGAGTCCTGAGTTTGACTGTGTTTATCCATTTAAATGAATGAACCTTGTGCTTGGCACTAATACATGGTCACAGGAGCTGCTGGAGAGAAACCAGAGATCTGACTGACAGCCAACTAGGACATGGTCTCAGCGTAAAACACACTGTGGGTCTGTGCTACATGTTTCCTGCCTGTACATTTATCTAACAACAGGTATGGCGCATCAGCCGCTCTGACTGCCTGTCAAAAACATTAACATCTGGATGACACAGATAAAGACATCACGTGTAGCCTCAATGAGACAAGATAAAATAAGTAAAGTAATACTACACTTTGTTCTTGTCTGCTCTGTAATGGACAGCTTTTGTCTAAGATGTCAAAGCAGACTGACTTCCCGTGTTTACTACTATTACTAGGAAGCAGCTGCAAAACACTCGCGAGCCCAACTCCCAACGGCTAAGAAGCTAACGTTAGCTCAGAGTGGCTAGCTCTCCAACAGGTCCCCACACTTTAATCACCTCTAATAAAGATAAAAAAGTACAGTGAACCACCTGAAGTAGTCTTACCTGGGCTGGGCTGCTCTGTGACCGTCTGTATTTTCATTCCACTCCGGAGAATAAAGTTAAAAAAGCCGTTTTTTTATGTCATACTTTGCTTCTGTTTAACAGGGCGACGTTAACCTCGTACAGTAAAGTCAGTAGCTCCGCCCACCATCACCCCTGGTTACAGTGGCGTCACGTGTGGAGGAGCAGATTGGGGCACGAGGAACCCCCATTCACAGTTTGTCTACAACAAGGACCCCATCTGTCTGGATTATTACTGTTGGCAGATGGTATATCATGAAATGTTTTAACTTACCAATTGTAGTATTATACTTAAAACCTATAATGAGAACATAAAATATTATTAATTATTTTCCAGTACATTAAACTACCCAACAGTAGGGGAGACCGGGGTTGGTTGTCACACTTTCAGCAGTCATTCCTATAACCCAAATCTACTCAGTTCAGAATTGTACAAAGCACATATATAACACCTGCTCTCAAAAATAAAATGGATGCTAATATTTCTTTTGCTGCCTTTATGGTTGTAGGAGGTGATGAAGGTTGGGGATGGATGAAATGCCCACTATTTTTTATTTTTATTTTTTTCTATTAATTCTTTTTTCATTAGTGTCTTATTTCCTTATTTTCAACTGCTCCTTCTACTCGCAATGTCATGTCCGAGCTGTTCTGTGTTTTAGGTAAAAAAATTGCAATAAATATATTCTTTAAAAAAATAATTCCTACATTAAATAAAAACGTACAACTCACTGTAACAAGAAGTAATTAACTATCAAAGACACTCCAACACAGTGTGACAACCAACCCTATCACAGGGTTGGTAGTTCCTATAGTTATCAGTGGGGTTTCAGGAAAAAGAACATTTAAAAAATGTGTACATTTTTACTTTTTTTAAGATAGAAACACCGAACAAGTTTTGAAATAAATACCACCTCTATAGTAGTAGGCTACTCATCAATGCCCCTTGTGTTTAAATCACTAATTTGAACCAGGTGATTGTTCGTTTGAACAGCCTAAAAACACCTGAGAATTTATGGACTACAACATGTTTGCCATGCTGACTGTCTGTCTGAACTGTCACACATGTGACAACCAACCCCCAGAGCAGTGAGACAGACAGGCTGTCCCCACCTGACCTCTTGTCAAACATTTTAAGCTAGCTACCACATGGCTCTAGTTTGCTAGCTAAACATTGACCAAACCTTCAACTTTTTAATATGTAGTTGATTGTTTAATGACTAATATCCTATATGCTTTTAATACAAAACAACACCAACATGAAAATTTACAAAATATCTTCTTACCTCAATGTATGTGTTTATGTGATCCACAAAATGACCAGTGCAAAATGAGCAGGATGTCACGCCAACTGTTTGATATCAACATAGCATCACAGAGACCTCTAATGAGGCTGTAATGAGCACAGTGTGACAACCAACCCCAGTCTCCCCTATACTGTACAACATAGTTCAAGTGCACTCCGGCTCAACCAGCTACATTAGTGACAATAGTCTAATACTATGATTTACAAGTAATGTAACACTGACAGGGGTAACTTTTCTGCACTATCAATACTTTTAAAACTAAGTACATTTGGCTTATTAAACCTCTGTACTTTTAGATAAGTCATATTCTAAATGCAGAACGTTTACTCACTATGGAGAGCTACTTTAACTTGAGTGAAGGATCTGAATACATTTTCCACCTCTGATTCTGACACAGAGGCCTCTACTGTATTTCCATTATGTTTATGTAAAGCAGTGGATGAGGAACCGAAAGATAACGGTGAACTTATTCCAATATAAGGTGCTAACCAAGAGAGGGCATATCCAAAAAACAGTTTAATATGTTATGTGGTTAATATGTTTGACAGGTTGATAAAAGTCTTTAAATATATATTGTATTTAAAACAGTTGATTTGCGAATGTGAAGAAATGCAAACTAACTGTACTGGAATATTGTGCAGTAGTAGTATGTCATAGTATAGTTGAAATAATGTTGAATAACCTTAAATACTTTCATCATGACATTTTAGCAACATAGGCCTTTGATGTAGGCCTTTTAAGCACAGGTGTTACTGACAACATTAATCATCTCTCCACTGTAGTGCCCACTATGCAACTGAACCAGTCTAAGAAATATAGCCATTGATTATTTGATAATTTACATGTGTGCTTTTCCTGCTGTGACATGTCAAAATGCCTACTGCACCACTTTCCAATGAAGAGGTACGAGACAATGTATTGTGATATAACCCCTTAAATACCCATTGAACATTTCAGCATCATATAAAAACAGCACAGCAGGGACTTTGTCGAACATCTTTAAAATCTATATTACATTGTAACATTTCAGCAACGTACAGCAATATAATCGTTGCAGAAAAACCAAAGGTGTAATTGACAAAGACATAACATGTGCATGTCTTTTAGGCGAGCTAGTTCCAGGGCTTTGGTATTGTACATGTTGGCTCACTGTCATGACTCACTGGGACACTTAATCAAGCGGCGCCATTGTTAATTAGAATGGTTTCACCTGTACTTTTCCTGCTGAGACGAGTCAATATACCTGCTGTGAAAAAGTCTGCTGTAATATTGCAATAACACTGCACAAAAATGCAGGGAGCATTTTGGGGATTTTCCCTTTGCTGCATGAGCTTGCCCCAAATAAACGCTATATTTTAACATCAAATACCAGACAGTCCAATACTGGACAAAAAAAACATACTTTCAAGCATCAGTTTTAGTGTTTAAAAATAATTTCTCTTTATTTTGCCACATAAATCAGAATTTTAATGTACTGTTATACAAATCTTTCAATAAAGTTCCTTCTGACACAAAAATAACCGTTATGTTACACAGGCGCGCACACACATGTACTACATGGACACATTTGCACGCAGACAAACACACGCAGGCACACATGCTCACATACACACTAAACAAAACAAAAAATGCGCCATTCATGATTTGGCACTTTGGACATATGGAGCCGTTTGCATTGATCTGCTGGTTTGGGTGGCCATGCAGTGCAATAATCGCTATGTTTGTAGAATGACATCCCTTTACCTTAGGTGGGCCACGCTCGCCTCCACAGGGCCCAGGCTACAAATATAGTTTACTAGAGACCACATCGACATGTACGGATCACATGAATACTGGTACACACACAGTTATGGCAGGAATATGCAAATGTTAGAAAAAATCTTAAAAAGAAATGAGAAAGCTCACCTCTGCTGCTTTGTTATTACTTTACACAACACAAATGCTCCAAACCAACTCAAATTACTGACAATTACAGGAGTGTTTATGATACTGTGGGCTTGACAACCCCCGGACTGTCTCCTGCTTTCACAGATACATAAAAATGTGTCTTCTGACTGTCTGAACAGTGAGGTGCCAAACAGGTTGCCTCCTCTGCACCACGTTTCCTTCACCTAATCTGTTTGAACGGCTGCGTGTTATAAAGAGTAAACTGGGTGATTTGAAAGGCTTAAGGTGAGCCATGAATCACAACAATGTGAGGAACCAGTGTCTCTTTCACCCTACAGTAAATGCACCCTGAAACATCGCCTACTCTAACATAAGTGCACACAATATGAAATAAGACCATTCACCACAACAGCTGGTCTATGTCTTTGAATTTTTTACAGTATTATTATGTCACACACATAAATAACGGTGTCAGATATTCTCAGACAGATGCCAATTGCACACATACATGGTTTGCAGCGTGAACACAATGTGTGCTTTCCTGCACTGTGCATCAATTTGGAAACTGTTTTTTTTCATACATTCAATTGGCTTGTAATAATTATGGCTACAAAACCTTTTGACGGTTAAATAAGTTGTCAGTGAATGTTGTAATCTGAGTTTGTAGGATTTAAAGGTCTAGTGTGTGGGATTTAGAGCCATCTAGTGGTGAGGATGCAGATTACAACCAATTGAAACTTCTCCTGTGTGCCAAGCATATAGAAGGAGGCCAACACAGAAACGTGAAAATGCAAATGACCCTATCTAGAGCCAGTGTTTGGTTTGTCCATTCTGGGCTACTGCAGAAACAACATGGCCAACTCTGAGGAAAGAAGACCTGCTCCAAATCTAGATATGAACGGCTCATTCTAAGGTAACGAAAACATGATTCACATATGGTGAATGGTGCCAATATATCCTCCTAAATCCTACACACCAGATCTTTAAGACAATTAATTAAACTGTACGAGTGTTGAGCTGTGATGTTAACAATCCACTGTGCTTCCGCAATTATACAATTTTATTATTTAGGACTTGCATTAATTAAATAGTTTTGAACACATGAAAAGAAGAAAATCACACCCCTGAAATCAGGTCAGAAATCCTTTAAAAAAAAGACATGGAACACAGGGTAAAAGAACTCCCTTTGAAACACACACATTTATCTGATGAGTCATGTTTGTCAAAAAAAAAAAGAGCAGCAGATATGAAAAATATATAAAAAGAAACAGAAATCCATTTAGAAACTCTTGAGCGCCATTTTTAGACTTTCCACTGCTGGAGACGGACGAGATCTGAATTCCACTTTGGGACTCTCTATGCCGGTAAATTTATCCCAGGAAAAAAAAATAAAAAAAATCATCGAGAATGGATCGAAATAGTGTTGTCACAAACATCTAAATACAAAACACGTACAATGTGAATTCTTCTCCAATAAAGGTTTTAAAAAAGACATAGAAATCAAACAATGTTTTGAGGATCCTAAGGCCTGTTTGAAATTGGCAGCTGATGATAAAGGTTATGTTTCTTTTATATGAACACATTTTCTGTTTCCACCTGACAGAGGCTTGTATCCAGACAATGACAAAAACCCTCCACATACTGCGCGTCTATTTGTTTGTACAACCTGCCGACACCACAAGGGTTGTAGGTTCTTGCATCGTGCCATCCAACTGTTACGTCATCAGCCAAGTACATAGAGGGTTTAAGGCAGCTTGGAAGTCTTCATTTCCGCTAATGTAATGTTAAGTAACCACTATTACTCATTAGTTTACACCGTGGCCATTGTTACATCCTGGTCTCTTATCCGTGTCAGAAACTGTGATTGCTGTCATCCTTGCTACTGGAAGTTTTGACAGAACTTTGACGTGTGTTTTCTGTCTGTTAGGATTCTCAGAGCGTCTGATATTTGGTTCGTTGTCAGGTAAACAGACTCGCCACACTCCAGCTCTCAGTGGTTTCTAGTTCGTCTCAGTGTTTCTGCTGCTGAAGGGAAGTGTGTTGCTGTCCTGAACCTCATGTGGTTTTGTCTTTCTGGTTGCAGTTGTTGTCTGTGCTGCTGTGGTCCGTCTGGTTTTCCTGTAGGCTGTCCTTCTGTAGGCCGTCCTGCTGTTCTGCGGCCTGCCGGCGTCTCGATCTGACGGGGAGGGCCATTACCACCAGGAGGCAGAGGAGATGTAAGCAGAAGTACCAGGACCTGCAGAGACACCCCAGAGTTTTCATATAATTTTCTCAGCACAGTTTATAATAAACAATAGTTTGAGAATAAAACCAAGAAATATGTGCAGGTCATAAAACTGTCAGTTTCTTAGCCATGCCACTAGTGTGGCTAAAAACCTAGGAATGGCAATGCTGGCCAGTTGGTCCACTGGTTTGGTCCAGACCATAGACTGTATATAAAGATGGATGACATGTCTCCATTTCCTCCCACTGTACTAAAATGAAGCAAATATATCCCAGATACAGGCCCTGCCATCGTGTGCTGGTGATGTCATTTGGACCCAGAGGGACAAGTCCTGCCCTGCTGTGCTGTGATTGGCTAAAACACAAAACGTTGTTTGTCTAGTCATAGGGAAAAAACAAAAGAGAACGGGAACAAAATCCCCAGGAAAAAAAACGACAAAGTCCTCAACCTCCAGGGATATGTGGACACTGGAGGAAAGCTGACAGAGGGCCCTGGGAGGTAGGCTTGGACCCCATTGACCTCCCACTCTCCCTCTGGTTCTCTGACAGAGTAGCAGAGCACAGCCTGGATATGTGGGGCTTGCTGGAGGCTTTACTGAGGCCAGAGAAGCAGTCATAATGGCTGAGAGAGGAGCCAGGTCCTGGTTAGTTTAATTTATACAAAACATATTTCATTAACTCTTAATTTATGTTTTGTTTGTAAAAATCCAGAGGCTTAGGGGCTGGAAAGGCAGTCTTAGCAAATATGAGGAGATCCAGGGCCTGCAGAGCATGTTGGGAGGCCCCACATAAAGAGGTGCGTAGATGCTGGACAACAGCCAGTAGCAGGCACTTAGCTGTGGGCATGGACCCCTGGCTTGACTCTCAGCCACCTTGCTCTATCCCACAGGCCACTAAGCAGACCCAAGCCATAATCTGCTCCTCTATCGGCTCTCCTCCAGTGTCCACATACCCCTGGATGCCCCTGCATGTTGCTGAGATGCAATGGTGGCAGAAAAAGCTTTGTTGCTCTTTGCCTCATGGCGAAACAACTGATCATAGCAACATACAGTTTCTGACAGTCCCCCACCCCGTCCACCCAGAAGAGACCATCCATTCCAGCACCAGTCCTTCATACAACCTCACAGAGCAGTTGTAGACTCTTGATACTCTCTGAACAACAATTGTAAGCATGCATAATAGCTTTATTGTGTCATATATGACAACAAAAATCAAAATTTTAGGTTTACTGAAAGCATGTTTTTGCTTAAATAGCTCTTTTTGCTGACACATGACTGAGACAAGACAGCTCTGTGTCAAATTACCCTAAATATAGAAAGAAATCTTCCTTATCCTTTAATGACCCTGTTTTATACTGCCTGTCTCGCAGCCACGTGCTGATTTAACAGCCGTCCTAATCTGCATGATACTGAACATTGTTGGGCTTTTATTTCATGGCAACGGCCGAGCAGTGTTAAGGCTGCTCATTTTATTTCCTTCGCATCAATCCTCCCCGTACTTCACTCATTAAGCTGTCTTGTTAACTGTTACAGCCGCACAAGAGGGAACCGGGCTGATGAAAGTGAAGCGTTAATCTCGACACTGTGGCCAGTTACTTCATTTACATGCTTAATATAACAGTGATTTTACACAACAGCAGCAGCGTGCACAACTCACTGTACTAATTACTGCACAGAACAGCAGAGGCTACAGTAATCTCTATTGAACTCTGATATTCTTAATGGACTCCATAGTGTCAACAATTCAGCTCAGCATCAACACACTATTCAATCCAGCTCACAGACCTGTAGAATTTGAGTGAGGGTCCCACAGCGAGTAGGACGAATGGCGCCACTGTGTAGCTTATGGCAACCTGAGTCCATGCCCACGTGATGACATCATAGACACGCTTGTGTGGGTCAGAGACCAGGAAGTACGGTCTGATGTTGTGCCTTACCTGGAAGAGAACAAAAAATCTCGTGAGCTGAACTTCCTGACATAATTTCCACATGAATATGGACTTTAAATTGTGTACCCACTTATTTTACAGTACAATAAACTTGAATTGAAGCAATTGACCTAGTTCTTAAGGCAGCTCTTATGCTCATACTTCTCATTTCCCCTTCTCTCTCTGTTTTCTTCCATCCAATAACTCTTTAGACAAATCTATCTTTGAAAATGTCAGTGTGGGCAGTGGCCTGTAGTTTTATATTGGAACTGGGTCAGTGGTCTCCTTGTCCTCCTTTAGATAAAACAGAATAAAGTTCCCATGGGAGCTCACCTGCACGACATATTTACTGTGCTGGTGTTTCAGTTAATCAACCCTTCCTGAAGTAAATTTTCTAGAATTACAGTAGGAGTTTCCCGCTGTAGCATCACTCCACTGTCTCTACATAAATATCCTCTTGTCTCCTTCTTTCTCAAGAGTGAAGAGGTCGGGGCTTAGCACAGATTAGTGGTAATGGCCTCACACTTTAACATGAGGTATAAGTGGTATACTACTTCATCATTATCCCCTTACTCTCTGTAAAGGGATTCTGTTGTGTGTTTGTGGTTCTGCTAAGTAGCAGTGGTAAATCTGAAGAGCTCTTAGACAACGTTTCTATAACTATGGGATTTACCCATGATACTGTGATTCAAAAACTGCAGGAGCATAATGTACCACTCCAGAATGTGGCTGGGAAAAACTCCAACAATAGGTGTATAGGCAGAAACAATGTGTGTACTCACTGCACGTGCTGCCATGGTCATGGCAATGCCAGTGAGGAAGGTCAGGTAGTAGCCGGGGTACACCCCGTGCCACATGGCCGACAGCAGGAAGGTGGCAGCCATGGGGTTGATGGGACAGCGCTCATAGCACACCCTGGGGAGAAGATTGACAGGACACACATCCTGCATTTGGTCAAACTGTTCAAGTACATATAAATAGGGTTCCAACACATTTTTAACTTTGAATTTTGAAAACATTTTCCTAACTTTTCCATAATATTTTACCCCATTTCTATGACTTTATCTAAGTAGCTTAAAATGGATAGGCCTATATAGCGATACAGCCATACATTATTTAACATGCACTTCCCGAGCAGATAAGCAAATTGCTGGTGTTTGCTGTCTTTACTCGCTCATTAGACATCCCTACTGCCAACTAGCTGCTTATGCCAAAAAAAACGGACTGGGCCATTTTGCAAAACATCAAAGCTGTGCCCCTTTCGGGGAATAGAAAACTTGAGATCCTATAGATGTCAATACAATTTGACAAGTCTGCATGCATGTATATCTTCTTAAACAAACATCTGTTTCATGTACATGTCTAATTCTCGTTCTGTGACTTTGCCTGAACAAATTAAGATTAATCGCTGTCATGTCCCTTCAGGCTTCCCCCCATCCAACTAGATCAGAAACCCAATACACTGGCCAGATATTACTTAACGGGACATTTACCGACATGAACAGATGTCAACATCATGACATGGTGATTCAATCAAATCTATTTGGTTAAATCACCAGGTAGCATCAGGCTAAGTGCTGTCTGTAAGTAATTAACCTGTTAATAGCCAACTGCTTGATCAACACTAGGTTGGGATTTAGTTGGAGACAGTGTGATGCTGCTTTACTGTGTGACTGTACTGCAGCAGACTCCCACTCATGCTAACATTAGCTATTCATTAGTAGTAACTGTTGTAAGCATCATTAGCGATTTACTACAGTGGCAGTGACTATTAATGTATCTTATGTGTCTTGGTTCAGCTGCTTCACCACAGCTTTTCCTCAATTTCCTGTTTTTCTCCTGATGCGTCAAGGTGTCGTGGTGTCGGCGATGACGTGATGCTGGTCTGGTCTGTGTGTATCACATGATACTAGCAACGTTTCAACAGTCACGTAGTGTAGTACTAGAGTAATACAAGGAACATATTTTTCATAACACTAGACATGTTTTGGGAATTTTATGAACATATTTTAAACAATTGCCAAAACAGTGTATATTCAAATCTTTTCCAAAACATTCCAGACTTGAAAAACTGGAGCAGAAGAGCTTGACTCATGTTGACAAAAAAAATCGAAAGACAGATAAATGAGATTAGATGAAATGTTTGTGGTAAAATTTTCAAGGATCTGCAGACTACCAGAGATATGCCTCATACATTTCAGCAACCCTCTATACTCTACAGCCAGGGGTTGCTCTAACACAAACTGAGTAAGGTACAGTGTTACAAACTGAATGATTTTACCTTTTGAGCCAAAGAGCTGTCTGGATATTCCAGTTGTCCAGGAACATCTTAAAACTGGTGGCAAACTGAAAGAAAAAAAAAAACAATAAACTTTAGGCTTTAGTTGAAAAATAACTTTATGTGGAAATAAAAGATCTCATACAAAGAGCCTAACCTCAATATCCAGAATTCTGAGATTTGATATCAGGTCCCACCGTGGGGAGCCATCTTTGCTGTATCCATTGAAGCCAAATCCGGCAGCGTTGTTGATAGCATCAGCTGCAGGAGAAAGGAACAACTGTTTTTGAGTACTACAACATCAACAGCTCCACATCCTTAAAATGCATTAGTTTGTAAAGCAGTGACAGAAACAGATGGAGATCTGGCATCACATGGATTTGTCATTGGTGAGAATAAAGAGGTGCAGTTTTTAACTCAGCACTAGATGGCACTGTTACATTAAGAAATGCTGTTGAATAAGTGTTGGGGACTTTTTTTTAGACTGCATCTCAACACACTGTAAGGGCCACTTTAAAAATAACTAAATTCTCTGAACCAAAACAGCTCAGTGAGTTCATACCACTTAAATGAGAAGTAGCAGTGAACGAAACCAAAACAGTAACACCTCTGTATATGCACACTAGGTTGAGAGTCAATCAGTTAGAGAGGATGGAGCAGAGTCTACAGTCAAGAAGAAACACATACACAAGGGTCATCCAGGTACTTTGAGGGGGAAATCATCAGTCTGATTTACCAACAATCAAATAAGAAGTCTATATATGTTGGCTCTAACATAGAATGGGTGAGAAGAAACATGTGCACCCATAAGAAAGTCGCATCCAACTCACCCAGTGTCCAGACAAAGTAGTACTTCGGCCTCAGAGCCAGCATGGCCAGGTAAAGGTAGATGACCTGAAGGTAGAAGGGCGTGGAGCTGACAAAGCCATCGTCTATGGAGTGCTCTACTGGAAGCACCTTGCACAGCGACAGATAGATGGCCAGTGAGATGGCACATGTACTCAGTTTTGAGATGACGTCATTCTAGGCAGAGGTGAGAGAGGAAATGGGGAAACGAAAAGCAGTCCATTAAAACTCATGACATCATATTATATTTAGATAAAAACAATCACCACATCAGAAGACATGATACTTGTACTTCAAATGTTAAGTTGACTCGAGTTTAACTCAAGTCCTCGAGCGTTCTCGCATGTTTTATATTAAGCAGCGTTCTGTTCCTTTCTCTTCTGAGATGAATACACACTCAAATCTTGGAGTGTAATTAAATTATTAATACATTATGCAGTAAGGAAACACAAATAACCTTGAGGTTTAGACGTTTGCGTCATTAAATTCTCAACAATGTTTCTCTAAAGGGAACCAAACGCATTATAATTAGCCTGCACCCCTGAAACAGCTCCACTACTGCAGGGGCCTTTCTCAAACATTACCCAAATATGCACTTAAAAGAGAATTGCATAATTTAAAGTCCTACTTTGTGGTATCATAACTAGGGCGGTGTTTAAAAAAATCTGTTTTACAGTTTAAATGGATCTTTGTCTGAATGATCTGAAACTGATTCATAAAATCCAGAGATCGATCTTTTAATATAAGCCTTTTCTTGTCAATGCGTGACCTCATTAATCCCAGCCTTTGGCTCTTTGTACAACGAGTTCTGTCCATGTAAGAGACAAGCAAACCTCAGCTGAATCAAAACATGCCAAGAGCAACTCCACTGACGGTACTGCCAAGCCTAAAGGCAGATGTCTGGCTGCATTTTGGATTTGAAAACAATAATAAAAGAGCTGGACAACAGCAAAGGCATGTGTTAGAACTGAGACATCACCAAGATACGCAATGTGTGTCGAACTGGGACCTTCTGAATTGGACTCAAATTGATTCAGGCAGTTTCTAATAGTTCAGAGATTTCTATGCATGCGGTAAAAACTGTATTGTACCTTGGGTGAGGGTTCGCTCTGCTTGTACTTCCCGTTCTCCTTGCCATTGGCGTTCTCCTGGTGGCGTGGCTGGTAGCCCGTGCCTTCGATGAAAGCCATGTAGTCGTTGTAAGAGCAGGTGGGGCCTGCCAGGATGCCCATGAAGTTACAGTTGTAACTCAAGTACTCCAACAAGCTGGGCATCCGACTTCAGGGCCACAGGGAAGAGACAACAGGAGATATATTAGGGGGGCAATGGAAACTAGAGGATCAGTTTTCATGTAGTGCCCACCCCTTAAATATAAAATAAACTATAATAATATAACAGGCAAAATATCATACATAGAGATGGCTTCCTGTCCCCTGAGAACCCAGTATCGTCTATTCTATTGAACTATCGAGGACAAGAGAGAGGGCCTGAGTGCTTCGAGTGACTCTAAAGCTTTTGCGGCCTCTTACCCTTCCTCACTGAATTTAATCTGCCTGGTGAGTTAACAATTTAACTGCCTGAACAGGAGCTCCTGTTTCGACTGCTAATTCCTCACCTTCCCAGGAGCCATCTCAGACTTAGCAGCTGACTCACAGTAGCCCAGCAAGAGTTTATGAAACAGAGGTCTAGGGTAGGGGTGAGAGATATGGCCAAATCTTCTATCATTGTATATCTATTTTTTTTTTTATCACGCTAACTGTATATTTGAGGACATATTAACTGCTCTGTATTGGGTCGGGCAACCACGGGTATCCAATGGTTGTCCCACAAAAAAGGGATTCGTGAATGGTATTTTGTCTTAATTCTATTTCAGTTCAGTTCTGGGTGAAAAGATGAACATATGGGCTGGATCATGGGTGTTGTATGACAAATATATTAAAATAAAAGGAGAATAATATAAATTGAATATGATGTCTTAAAGTTACAATGTGTAATTTACGTGGTTGTTTATTAGCAAATATCAACTATTGCTTTCATAAATATATATTTACTGAAGTGTAATGCAATTCACATACAAATGGAAACTTTCTCATAGGCTTAGAATGATTTCTCTATATGTAGAGAAATCGCGCCCTGCCTGTGTATATATACACAGGTCTGCTGGAGGCTGCCCTCTTGCGTTGGTCGAAAGAGATACACACGCTTCGCCTTTCGCGTTTACCTAGAACTTGCCGTTACTGGAGATGGTTAAGGTGAAGATCAATCCGGGGCGCTTCTGCGTGAACCTGCTTTGTACTTTTATGATTCTGTCGCACTTTAAATGGAGGACCACACATATGTTTTGCCCCGTAAGAGGGAAACCATGCCACCAAATAAAAGAAAAAAATCAGATAAGCGAGGAAGGGACAAAACGCGAGTGAATATCGGCGTTGCTTATTCCAGGTGGAAAGAACTCCTGAAGGAGAAGGATTTCATAAGGGATGCGGAGGTTGCCGGCTTTCTGCTAGGCAGGTAATTCAATCTGATATTTTAAAATCATTTTGGCTTCATGTTTGCAACTACTTTTCCCTCTCGTCTAAGTTCGAGTGATGGCTACATTTACGTGCTAACGTTATCCTAGCCTTGGCTAACATTATCCCAGAGCTACAGCTAAATGGTTAGCCTAGCCTACAGCCTAATCTGTTGATTCCTCTCGCGCTGCTGCGAAGGCTGCCACCTTCTCCTCCTCCTCTTCCCTCTGGGTAGCCGAGACACACCTCTTCGCCTGGCCATTCCTGCACCGCCTCTAATGTTACCCCCTCGCCCCCTTCCTCTCCCTGGTCTTCCTCCTCTCCCTCTCCCTCCTCTCCCTGTGTCCTGTGGAAGAACACTCTGGAAACGCATATATTATAATCGTACCAACCTATATTTGCCGCACTGTGCCGTGACTATCACATAAAACGTGTTATTTTAGCATTACTGTGCTAATGCTCGTGTTACCAAAACAGTTAGAAATAAAACACTCCTAACATATATCTCACAGATAACCTTTATCTCACTGGTAAGCTATAACATACTGTAACATGGTTTAGATTCCTAAATAAATATTCACCTCGTCGCTAGATACTCCTGAAAAACTCAAAAAACTCTGCTGTCTGCGCAAGGCTTTTTGTCCTAAGAGGCCACCGTCACTTACCCGACAAGGGTGAGTGAGTGAGAGCGAGTGAGCGCTGCAATCTAGAATTTGACCGCTGATGTCACTGTTACTCACCATTTTTACACACTGAGGCTTTAACATTTTAATCCTCTGTGTCGGGTCTTTCTTCCGCACCAGCCGGAATATGAGGGTCACTTCAACCCAGTGTGTTCCTAACAGGCACATTATACTGTATGTTGTCTTAGCTTCACATGTCCCAAAATGATCTCTTTAAACGTGCTGCCTAACAGAATCACTTGAACAGGGCATAGTTATTATAGGATTTGCAATCCTGGGTTGGTCCGAGGATCTTGTGTCGTCAGGTCGGATCGGGTCGCAGAACTAATTGGCTATATGTACAGGTGGCAGGTTGGGTGTGGCACTGCATGTTACAGTAACAGTTTGGGAGCAGGCCTTAAAAATCAGACCTGTGCAGGACTCTGTCTGGGACCTTATTAGTACACTAGCTCAGTCTCTGATCCGTGCAATCCCATTGTGCCCATTGTTCAGTGTATTCCAAGCTATGCTTAACAGATTTTGAACTGATCGTGTCAAAATATCTGTGCTGCTCTCTGCTCGGTCTCTTATCTCTGTTCTGTTCAGCTTTGTGATCACATATTAACTCCCTGTTATCTTGCACTAGCAACTCATCTCCCCGCTAAAATCCTGTATTTTACATTGTCTCTGCGCCTCGGCTGCACCACCATCTCCAATAGTAGCTGTCATGGAGAGGAATCTGCAGTTGTAATGCAGGACAGATGGAGGGTAGGGCATTCCTACAATACAGTTCACATGAGAGTAGTGAATGTGTGGTTTCCTAGATACCGAGTGCCTAACAACTGCTTGACAACACCAGAGAGAGCCTGAAACAGGGGCAGTGTGGTGATTTCCTACGCAGAGAGCAACGAAGCCTTTATTAAGATAAAGAGAGGGAGGGTTCATTAACTCTAACTTAAGACCATGTCAACTTTTTAAATTCAGCTTGATAAACCCATCATCTGAAGCAGTAAAAACATACCTGAGTCACATACCTGATAGCTAGGTATTTCTGAGTGGGAGTCAGCTGCCCCTCTCGTTTGGTCATCCCTACAGACAGACACAATCAGATACGTCTCACATTAAAAAAGGCATTTTATTTGTGCACATATACACCTGCAATTCATGCTCTGAGAATCAGATTCATTCAGTGGAAATAGGAGGAATGGATGACAGGGTAATAGTACAGAGTAAACAAACGCCCAGTACGTGTATTCTGACAAAACTCTGACGTTCATAGCAATGACAAGTGCTGACCTACAATGTTTGCAGGTGTAACAACACACACTGTAGTGCCAAAGGTCCCTGTCATTGCAACACATACTAGTTCAGGAGGCAGGAGGGACATGTGTGAATCTGCCTGTTATGCAAATAATACCAACTTCCTCCCGCTGAGTAAACAGTGGACAGTAAAAGATGCAGTGCAAAGAGTGCAAAGAATGTGGGATGGATCTGGTTGTACTTTTGTGTAGGCTCCCACTGATAAATACTCTAATACTCCTTCTCCACCAAATTAGCTCTGGTTCCATTCTGGCGAACCAGCCTGCATTTCCACCAATGTTGATCAGAACCATTGTAATCAAGGATGCGTCATCAACAGAAGGCATTGCATGATACACAATGGAAGTAAACAGCAGTAGCAAGATGGTAGCTCACATTAATCACCTGTGAGCTTTAGTTCTGTTAAATCAGAAATTTGTTTTTATCCAAAAACCAAGCATGGACCAGCTGTTGAAGACAAGAAGACACTGAACACCATTACTCACAAGACTCTTTCCAGCCTGTTGAATACGACTCACTCACTGGTGTTGTCACGAATTGCGCTACAAGTCAAGGAAAACCTGCTACTTTTTGGTTCAAGCTAGGAAACAGCTTTTCAGGTTCTGTTACTTTTGGTCGAAATGCTCTTAGATGCAGGAACCAAAATGGAACCAGTTCTATGTTGGTGGAAAGGGGGTACAAGAGGACAAACTACACCTTGGCCAGACCTCCTGACAGGGGTTACTGTTGATATTGGTAAAGGTCGACTCTCTCTATAAATTTGATGAAATAAATGTGTTTCAATTGGTTATGAAGAACACTCATGGCTAGCTTTTGCACCATGGGATACATGCAAAAGGTTGACTGAACAGCTTATGGTGCAAGGCTGTGCTTACTCACAAGGCCAATATTAAACCTCTGATCCCAGTCAAATGAATGAAAAGATGAATCTAAAGCAGCTTCGATGTTCCTTTAGAAACTGTACACTTAACCCCCGTTTCCACCAAGCAGGCCCATAAGGTACAGTTCAGTTTGGTACATTTGTTTTCCGTTTCCACTGTGAGAAGTTGTGAATGGTACCAATGGAACTGTTCCATACCGTCCTCATTTGTGGTCCCCCCCCCCCCGTTGGAGTACCTAGCACACAGATTTGATACTAAAAGGTGGAGCTGTGAACACTGCAGTCTGTTGATTGGTCAATAGAGGACGGTCACTCTGCTCAGGGCTGAGTTGTGGCTGGTTTTGAGGCTCATGTAACCACTGTTCACACTGTGGAGAGTTTTATTAGTAAACTGTAACTATAAAATGAAAGGATGTTTTGCTGCCTTTTGCAGCAGCTGTTGTCGGACCAAAAAACTACTTAATCCACTTGACTGACTGTCGGCGACTTTTAAGGTGGAACGTTAACTTGTAATGTTACTTAATGCAACTTTGATCATTCCATTAGTTTTTATATGACATACACTTTTAGTAATGCCTGGATCTTCCAGCATTTTTATATATATTAATTTCGACCGGGACGGCATATATCCCAATTCTCACTCAGAGAGAAAAAAAAAAAAGCCTCACGGGGCATTAAACCCCTGAGCTTGCCTGAGAAGGACTACACGCACAAACCTGCTACTTTCACATATCCCTGCAGCATGTTTTATTTTGTTCTGAAAATGTCAACGTGCAGCCTCGTTCTGTGGACGATAAACGAGGTGCAGACTTCCGTCATCGGTAATGAGGAAATACAGTGAGTGCTGGACGAAGCAGTGTGTGACAACAACCCCATCCACATTTAAGAGCACTGTTTGTGGTGGAAACGCTACACGGACCAAGGGTCTAGGTATCATATCTGGAGGGTTACTTTTGGTTCCAAAGGTACCATACTGGAAGTGTTTGGTGGAAACAGGGCTTTAAAGGAACAGTTAACCCGAAACCAAAATTTATATTTTTGTTTATATTCTGTAGTGGTATTTATCAATCTAGATTGTTTTGGTATGAGTTGCTGAGGGTAGGGGATGTCGACCATAAAGATGCCTACCCTTCCCATATAATGGAACTAGATGGCACTCAGCTTATGGTGCTCAAAGCGCCAAAAACAAATACATTTGAAAAACTCAACAGGATTATTTCTTTCCAGAAATCATGACCCTATTACTTAAGATAATCCACAGACTTTGATGTGGGAACTATTTTCTTCTACCAAATTACACCCACCCACCGAATCACAGCGCAGAAGGCAGCATGCATCTACTCATGAACACAAGGCTCGTGCTTGTGACAGCTAGGTGAGCTAGCAGTAGATGCACGCTTCATTTTGCACAGTTATACCGTTGGCTGTAAAAAGAAAATAGCACCTGCATGAAACTGCTCACAACAAGGTCTGTGAATTATCATGCCACTTTTAGCATCAAAAGCTGAGTGCCATGTAGCTCCATGATATTCAAGAGAAGGCAGACATCGCTACGGCCAATATCTCAAACACTCAGCAACTCACACCAAAACAATCTAGACTGATAAACAGCACTACAGGTAAGAGGAACATATGTATTTTTGATTTTGGGGTGGAATATGGGCAATGTCTCATAAGTATTTTACTGTATGTCCCCAAAAAAGGCAAAATACTGTGTAGTGTGTGTGTTGTGTGTGTGTGTGTGTGTGTGTGTGTGTGTGTGTGTGTGTGTGTGTGAGCAACAGGCAGGTATCAGGGTGTGACAGTTCTCTGAGGATGGGGATTACAGTCTTAGTTTCTCATTAGACTCACAGTTGTGAGGAGAATCAGTGACCTGAACAGAATATAAAACACTACTCTACCCCACACTGCCTACACATGCATGCACCCACCGACACACACATCAATACACAAACTGCTATCAGATTGCTGATTGTGTTCAGTCTAGAATATCCTGGGGGGGGACTTAAGACTCCAAGTGGGAACTAAAAAGCTATGAGTGACTCTCGTCATCCTCTCAGCCTCTAAGCCTCTCTGATACTCGATCACACTTGTTTATTTTGACCTCAGTGTCAAGTCTCTATCTTTATTTATTTACTGCTCATTAACCTGCAGTGGTAATGAGCAGTAAAATATGCTTCAGCATTAGCATGGGACATGACAGGCCAACTACATGGACTGTACATTGGTTACATTTTGCTAATAAATGGCTAAAGCATTACTACACAGTGTTTAAGAGGATGCAGCCGTGTCCAAAGTCAGCCATTAAACTGTTTGAGAGGGGCAGAGCAGGGGAGAGTGCATACTTGGTCACTGCTCCATTACATAATTGTGTTTATGCTCTGTTTCTGGTTCACTAGCCCATTGTCAGACCTGACTACTGGCTTGGAAACATGGCCATGTGATCTGTTTGGAAACTCCAAAGAGAACTGAACCATTTTCACTTCTGTCACGTCTGCCCTTTATTTTTTTTTTTTTCCACAGAGGATGCACACATACACACATACACACACACTGGAAACACACATGCTTTAAAGAGACACTTTGATGCTTGTCTTACCATCGTGTATTTCAAACGCCAGGCTGGTAATCTTCTGTGTTATGACCATCATGGGCCTGATAAGGAACATCAAAAGGGGAAAAGGTCATGTTAATATTTAGAATTTCAGTGCAGCTCATACACTTGTTTTGACTACACTTTATTTTGAATGCTCGTTTTGGTCCTATTTATGTTTTGGTGGCATCATGTTCTTCATGGCCTTTCATGCCAAGTTACCTAGTAATTATAGTAACAGTATCCTCCATACTGGTACCATCACAATAGGAAGTTTCCCCCATTATAACTGCACACCTGTCTTTAACTTCCTGTGGCTATTATTTCTATTCTTCTTCTCTATCCTTAAGGCCAAATGCAGTGCTGTACTATTCACCCCTCTTCCTTCCTCTTCCTGGTATTACTTTAAAGAGATTTATGTGACATATTCAGAGCAGAAAATATTCTATATGACTTTCATATATAATAATACCTATGTGTATTTTAAGTCTTGGCCTTCATTTTATATTTGGGAATAACTTCCTGTGTTTCGTCATCTTCTATTATAAGATTACAGGCTGTTGTTTACATTTCACACCAATTTTTGTGTCCCTTTGACTAAGGTCCCGTTTATACGACAACGATTTCAACTGAAAACGGTAAACTTGAAAACGGAGACTTTTCGCACATGCGCATTACGGTACCAGTCACTAGGCATGCGTGAGAAAGTCGACTGTCACAACAACAATGACGAGCTCTGTTGGTGCTGCTCACCCTGTTGATTTGAAGTGAAGTGTAGATCTGTTACTGCAGCAACTCCACCTTGTCGTCCATCCAGACAAAGTTATCTGTGCATGCTTTTGCCATTTCTTTGTAATCACCGCGTTGTAGAGGAAGGCGCTTCAGCGCAGGCGCGAGGTGTCATGCCGTGGTGTTGCTGTGCAAATTTACACTGCCACCAATTGGCCTGGCGTGCATACTACAGCGTTTTAGAGAAACCGTTGTCGTCTAAACAGGGCCTAAACATTCCTGCAGGTGATTACTGTTACCATTTCATCTCATTTCATATGAAGCAGCCTACTTCATTTATGGTTCTGATGATGTTGCTCATAATTAGCTTTGTGCTATCAGTTATCCAGACAGGAAATGTTAGGGTCAGTCAAGCCAGTTAATGTAAAAATATCTTGAATAAGTTGAACTGGCTTTGTAGTACAGGCCTCTGGTCTTCCACTAAAATTAGAGGGACATTTTAGACTATCTGACTATCTATAAGGGTCACAGTGACGTTAAGGAAAATGTGAATCTGACATTTTTAAGAAAAAAAAGAGGAATGAAAGATGTAGTAGAAATCTCTGCCCTCGCAGAGGCAGTATGGGATTGCATTGGGTTGCTTAGCAACTAGCCACCCCCACCCTGCTGAGAGTGCAGGCTGTCTGCTTGAATTGTCAGACAGTCTGGAGGAGTGGGAACCAACCACAAGAGTCGCTATCGACGTCCTCCTGCCGACACAGCAGTGTGACACGCTCTTGTTTTGTATTCCCCCAACTCTTACTGGGAACTTCTTGTTTTTGGCTTTGTACTCCGTATAGCATTCAGAATAAAGATCAGAAGAGGTTTTTTGGCTATTAATCAAACACAAAAAAAGATTATTAAGAGCTTTTAGTGTGGCTTACCCTGTAAAATCTGCAGAGTACATGCCATAGTCGAACACGTAGACTCGTGTGATCTGACACAATATCAGGTAGCCGAGCGTCACAATGAAGCAGTACCTGTGCAGAGAAAGGAAGGAAAAGAGAAATTAATCTCTAAGGTGATATGGAGCTTTTCAGGTGGAGCATCTTAATGCACATATTGTGAATGTTTTACTTGAGAGTTGTTAGTCCATCCCTTTGTTCTCATATGTGCTGCATAGTAAAGACTTTTTTCCAGTACAGTACTGTACAAAGGAGAGTGGCCTCTGCACCAGTGCGTAGCTATGGAAAGGGTAAGAGGGTCAAAAAGTGGACAAAAGAGCAAAGGAGGCTCCAGTAATGATTCAGGATCAGTGGTTGAAGACAGAGGACAACACAACCTTTCAACTGAAGACCAAAGCCAGAGAGCAGCACTAAAGCCTGTTGTGTTGTACAAAGCTGTTGCAGAGTCAGCCCAAGTCAAAGCTAGCTAGCTAGCATTCCTCTGCTGCCAACAATAAGAGGATTGTGCTGCTCTGAGGAGGAACACAACACACCAGCGAGAGCAAGGCTGCACCGCTGATAAGACACAACGGGACCTTTTGATTCTGAGAGTCTACTGTAGCTGCAGTCCAAGACGCAGCCAAGAAGACATCATCTGATATCCACTGCCAAGCGTTTAGAACACAATATAAAGTAAACAACACAGACTTTTGCAACATGAAATATTTTCAGACCTGAGAGTTAAGAGTTGTGCTTTTGTATCCAACCCACATTTGGCCTGTTTTTCAGTGTACAGAATATGTTTTAAGAATCTTGCTCACATGGGAGACGACATGGATTTTTACAAAGGCCTCCATATTCTGAATCAAGCCCTGCAGCAACAGGGCTCATTTAAATGTACTGCATGGATACACCGAGTAATACTAGTTATTAAAACGTGTGTTTTATGGTGAATAATTTAGTTTTGTAACAAAGGGGTTTTACAGCACTTTCTGCTTCAAGATTTAGATTAACCACTGTACATATCTTATTCTTCATATTGTATTCTTTTTATTATTCTAGATCTGTTAACATCAGGCAAGGGGACTACTGATGAAAACTAGCTTTTCAGCTAACTTTCAGCATAGACATTTGTTTAAATGTGGGTTAATGGACATTATCCCTTCTTAAAAAATACAGGGAACATAGAGAAAGAGAGGGGTACTACATGCAACAAAGGTCCACAGACGTTTTAAGTATGTGTTCTGCGTATTAACCATTAGGGTTCTAGGGCAACTCCTCTTGGAGCTTTCTGTATAGGACCCCCTAAGTGTTGTTTAGCTAACACTTTCCACTATTGCCTATTGCCTTCCAGAAACAACACAAGACCTGCCCATAAACTTGGGCTCAATCCTAATACACCCTTTAGCCCTTACCTCCACGTCTTATGCGCTCACATCTAGGGGAAGGGTGTCCCATTTCATGTTGGGATAGAGGGGTATGGTGAAGTGTAGGGGGTACATGGCTCTCCAAACAGAGGTTTTTCAAAAACACACACTGAGTGTTATTGGAAATCATTGGCGAGATGGTTGCAAGAGATGTCAGTGAAGATTCTCAGTCATCAAGTTCATGGTCATCCTCAGTGCTATATCATAGGAGAATGGACTTGCTTGAGTTTCTTGAAGACCTTTCACCTCTCATCCAAGAGGCTTCTTCAGTTCTGGCTGAAGGAGGCTTTTCAGACATTCTTCAGAACTGAAGAAGCCTCTTGGATGAGAGGTGAAATGTCTTTAACAAAGTCCAGTTGCCTACGATGAAGCACTTAAGATGGTTGCACAAGTAACAAAAAACCCCACAAATGTATTTTCTTCGTTAATAAACATGTAAAAAATGCAATAATCATCATATTATCTTAGTTTCATTTTGTTTCAATGTAGTACACCCCTTTCTTTTAAACAAGCATTAAAAAAATGCTGATGACTTAGTAGCTAACTAGCTAGCTAGCCAACGTTAAATGGTTATTGCTGATTTGTGCATGACAGTCTTGCGTTTTGACATATTTCCATGTCCTATTCCCAACTTTTGGTGGCATATGATGCCTGAAATTTAACTGAAGTCCAGCAGGAAGGTTGCTGCACCTCTAATGTCAGTGTGGCTTGGCAGGAAAGGAACATGTGTTGCTTACGTTAGCGCACCGCTAGAGGCCTGGAAGTGAAGCAGTGTTCTTTTTTATTTGATGACTTGTATGATTGATCAATAGTGCGAAACTCTATCTCCATCAGACAAAAGAGACAAAAGACCATTTTAGCCATGGTTGCGCATCCTTACGTTAACGTTATCAACGACTACATGTTGACATATCAGGGTCTTGAAGGGTTGTCCTACTCCATAGGGGAAGATTTCAATCACTATACCGTATAACTCTGCAGGTTAAAGGGGCACTCCAAATCAAGGGGTAAGGGTAAAAATAAGAATGTGGATATTGTTATTTAAAAGGGAATAACAGTAACATAAGTGCACAGTGACCTGAGTGGGAATAAAAATCAAAAGCTTCACAGTATCCTTACAGGTTTGACCCAAGGAACTAGAATTCACTGTAACACATTTAAAACCTACAAGACAAAATATATAGTAAGTTATTTCCCTGCTCACTGTGTGTGTGTGTGTGTGTGTGTGTGTTATACACACTGAGCCAATATCCTGCCTGTGGAGTAAGATAAGTTGTCTTGTTACTCTTGCTCACAACAGCATTTTACCTAAGTTGACATTTTCTTGAAGCTGGTGACAATATCCTGCTGCAGACCACTCTAGCAACGTCAAGATAAAATGAACAGGTTTGTATGTGTATTAAAAACAACAGAAGAGGTACCTCAGGCATGTATTTTACTGGCTTCAACACAAAGACTGAAGATGCTCCACACGAGACTATATATCTAATCACAGACATTTTAGCAGTGTGAGAAACTACTAACATTTTGAATCCTTAGCAACACCCCTGTTTCACCAAGATCAGCTTGCTCCACTGGCAGCACACTCCTGCAGCCATGAGTGGGGATATGAGCTATATGTGTTGCAGCAGCTATATTTGCAGCGCCACCAGGGATCCTGTCTTTATCCTCCTTTGATTTGTGTTTGTGTAATTCACAGCTCAGAGGGGGGTGTTTCATTTCCACTCGAGGCATCGGATGGAGCCTGGGACTAAAGTAGGCTGGCCTCCCGCTGTGGGACAGCGGCAGACTGGTCAATATGGAGACAAGGAGCCACACAGGAGCCGCAGGTATGGATACACACTGCACATGGGAGTGATGAAAACGAAAAAAACAGGCTATAAATAAATGTCTGAACACTGCAAGACCTCTCTCTGAGGTTGTGTACACATAGTAAATGCCTCCAGGCACACTTCATGCTTGCTCAGATGCATACAGGGATCCAGAGGAAATTTCCATCTGTTCAGCATGCGACTGGCAGTCAGTAATTTGCACGCTTATCACCGTCAGGTTCACAGTCATGCTTTCACACCAAAACTAATATGAATTTCAATTAAATTGCACACTTATGTTACAGATAGAATGACAGTTCTCCTTTTCATCTTTAACTCAGGCCCTCCTGGCAATAAGTTGGGTAGTAGAGTGGTTTCATGGGTAGGCAGACCATCCTTGACAGCTTTAAATCAGTGTAAGCACCAACCACCGGGCAAATGCAGGTAACTTGTTGTCAGACAATCTGCTACTTTGTTGCCAGGGAAAATGCTCAACAGAAAGATACGTTTAGTGAGGTTAGCGTATGACTGGATAGGGCTACACGCCCACATGTTACTGTATAAACCACACATGCTCACTTATTAATGTCATCTGAAGAAAGTGACAGTGGATGTGCTTAGAGCACACAGGTGCTTCCAGACCACGGAGAGTGATTAAAAAAACATTGCAATGGTGAAAGCTTCCGTTCCCCAAGCTGAATATTGTCTGTATGAATTGAAATGAAGTATATGTTTGCATGTAGGCTGGCGCATCCATGTATGCACGTGTATGTGTACAGTTGGGGCGGCAGTAGCTCAGTCCATAGGGACCTGGGTTGGGAACCTGAGGGTCGCCTGTTCAAGTCCCTGTCCGTACCAAATATGGAGCGTGGACTGGTTGCGCAAGAGGTCTAGATTGATATATCAATTCAGTGATCAACGATCCAATGTCATCGATGCAAAGTCAAAACATCGATCCATATGATACATATGGTATATACAGTGCCCTCCAAAAGTATTGGAACAGTGAGGCCAATTCCTTTATTTTTGTTGTAGACTGAAAATATTTGGGTTTGACATCAAAAGATGAATATGGGACAAGAGATCAACATTTCAGCTTTTAATTCCAGGTATTTACATCTGGATCTGATACACAACTTAGAAGATAGCACCTTTTGTTTGAACCCACCCATTTTTCATGAGAGCAAAAGTATTGGAACATGTGACTGACAGGTGTGTTTTGTTGCCCAGGTGTTTCCCAATTACATTGATTATTCAAACAATAAATAGCACTGAATGTCTGAGCTCAGTTTCAGATTGGGTACGATAGGTTTTGCCTGTGCAGACTGCATTTAGAGGTGGAACCAACATGAAAACCAGAGAGCTGTCTATGGGTGAAAAAGAAGCAATTGTGAATCTGAGAGAAGATGGACAATCAATCAGAGCCATTGCACAAACATTGGCCATAGCCAGTATAACCATTTGGAATGTCCTGAAGAAGAAAGAAACCACTGGTGTACTAAGCAACAGACGTCGAACAGGTAGACCAAGGAAAACATCAGCAGTTGATGACAGAAACATTGTGAGAGCTGTAAAGAAAGACCCTAAAACAACTGTTAGTGACATCAGCAACAACCTCCAGAGGGCAGGAGTGAAGGTATCACAATCTACTGTTCGCAGAAGACTTCATGAACAAAAGTACAGAGGCTACACCAGAAGATGCAAACCACTCATTAGCAAGAAGAATAGGAAGGCCAGGCTGGAATTTGCCAAAAGGTACAGAGATGAGCCTCAAAAATTCTGGGAAAAAGTTTTATGGACTGATGAGACAAAGATTAACTTTTTCCAAAGTGATGGAAAGGCGAAAGTTTGGAGAAAG